CGGATCGCTTATAAAGCTCGTTTACTTCTCGCGCGAAGTTGATTCTACGGATCCCGGCGGCCGACTGAACTTTCAAAACTTCGAAACAGATCGCATTGATGACTGTGTGGAGTTTATGCGACATCTGCGTGATAACCAACTTGTCAATGGCTCACAACCGGGAGAGTTGTGTGTAATGGCGACTGGTGGTGGCGCGTACAAGTATTATGACAAAATTCGAGCCGCGCTCGAAGTGGATGTGTCGCAAGAGGATGAGATGGAATGTCTCATCATTGGTGAGCAGCTCTATTCGCTATCAAGAACGTTTGAGCTGATAGTTTTTCTAGGACTCGACTTTTTCATAACCGAAATCCCCCGCGAGGTCTTTACCTACTCCGAAACAGATCCCATGCACTTCGTCGTGCCACAGGATAATATATATCCTTATCTGCTTGTAAACATCGGCTCAGGTGTCTCATTCCTGAAAGTAACTGGGCCAAGATCATACCAACGAGTCGGAGGTACATCGCTCGGTGGTGGTACTCTCTGGGGTCTCTTGTCTCTGCTCACTGGCGCGCGAACTTTTGACGAGATGCTTGAACAAGCTGCTCACGGCGACAACGCCAACGTCGATATGCTAGTTGGCGACATCTATGGAACAGACTATGGCAAGATAGGACTCAAGAGCACGACAATCGCTTCGTCCTTTGGTAAAGTTTTTCGTATGAAGAGAGAGGCCGAATCAGCAGCCGAAGATGGCAGATCTGCTACGCCAGAAGACGCATCCTTCAATAGCGCAGATGTTTCACGATCTCTCCTTTACGCCATCTCAAACAATATTGGACAGATCGCCTACCTGCAGTCCCAAATTCACAATCTATCCAATATTTATTTCGGTGGTTCTTTCATCAGAGGCCATCGTCAGACCATTAACACACTAAGCTATGCCATCAAGTTCTGGAGTAAGGGGGAGAAGCAGGCTTACTTCCTCCGTCATGAGGGTTATCTGGGAGCAGTTGGCGCATTCCTCAAAAGGAAGCCCAAGAACTGGGGCCGCAAAGGAAGTCTTGAGGGCATGGATGACCTTGCTGAGTTACGGAGGAATCTCCGCGAAGGGGCACCCATCTCCAGTACATCATAAATTTCAACGAGCGCGTTGGGAAGTCAAACCATGTCAGGGATTTCCAATTTAGCAAACACTGAAAGGCTTCAAACTATCCGAAGTTGACTTGAAGTTGCGTTAGGTCGACTTGTCAAGCAACAAGCAAATGTGGTTGCATCACCTTCCACAAGCAGCATTTTATGGCGCAGTATCTCAGGCGTTTGGTACATTTTTGGGTTGGCTATCGTTTTTCTTTCACTTGAGGGCATGGGGAATTGTTCTACAGAAAGTATCAGCGGCGGATAAGCATTTTGCTTCTTTGTTTAGAGATCAGGAAGCTTTATTGAACACATAAGGGTAGCGACATCAAGCGCAGCAAGTTTCTGGCAGCCTACCGTAGTGCTCGTTATGTAATCCTATGCCAACGGGGTTTTTGGCAAGGCTCTTTGATCCAAGAAGAATGTTTATCGCTGTACAACATATGTGCTTGTTCTTAATATTGTGTTGGTAGTGTAGAAGATATGTACTTGTAGCATGATGTCAAATTCAAATCATTTCTATAAATACTTTTATTAAGTTGACTTCTCTTTCTTGCTCTATCTCTTCCCCTACATGCCGTACTTTACTGAAGACATCATTCATCTCAACATGGCCCAGAGAGTTGCAGACACCGACGATTGGGTCAGAATGCCTTATCTTATTAGCACAACACAAAACCAGTTTTTCGAAAACTACCCAGAACAAGCATTCAGAACTAGTCGTACTTTGAACAGACCTGATGTCTGTTGGGAGACCACAAGCTTGAGACCCTTGTCTGATTGGAGTTGTGATCCAGGCGTTCCATGCTGCACCTGTGACTGTGATGGCCAGCCTGCTCTGAGGGTCAACGCGCAGCCTGTTGGATATGTCTGCAAACCCCAGGATAATACCAATGTTGTAAGTTGACAGTCAAGTAGTCGATATCTTGAGATCCCTTACTGATCGTGTACATAGCTTGACGGCACCCACTCACAGAGCCACGGCGCAGGACAAGGACTGCCAGGCCCTTTCTACGCTCATTATCAGCCCAACACCCATTACAGTTATATGGGAGAACCACGTGTCTTTTATGGCGAACAGGAGGCCTCGTCAGTTGAGGATATGATCTACTATAGAGCCAAGGAGCAGCGGTACAAGAATGACGCCGAGAAAAGAATTCAAGATTGGACACGACTCATGCCTGAACTAGTTGGCAACAGCAATGTCTCGTCCTCAACGCACAGCATGTCGAAGAGATGCGCCAGGAACAGCAACAAAGAAGACAAAAACCAAAGTGCACACACAGACAAGAAGAAAGAGAAGAACAAGGGCGACGGGAGCAAAAGAAAGAGACACACGTTCACACGACGATCCTATTGAGGAGACTGATAGCGACGAGAGGTAGTCATGAATCAAGGCGCGAGGGGATAACCATTATGGGCTGTTGTTACTTGTGTCATGAGGATAAGAGGTAGAGTGAGTTTGGGCTACATGGTAATCAATGCACAAGAACTTCTCTTTGGTAATTATCTGGTATATCCCTTTATTTCCGTAGTCATGGCATCATCTACCTGCACTGGGATTGTGAAATAAGGCTGATTTAAGCTCAACGAATCACACAATGAGCAGCTACTCTAATCCGCAAAGGGAACGGTCAACTTCACCAGCATCTGATAGGTAATTCATCACGCGATAGATTCAAGACAAGGTGAATTAATCAATATCCTAAATATATAACTTATTCCTGGAGTATCAGCGGTTATTAAAAAGGTATACATAAAGTTATAACATGATTCAAGGTTGATAAATATAAAAGCATAAGCAGAGGCTTAAATATAAACACTAAACTACTATGCCCAGTTTTCAAGAACTGTAATATCAAAAAGAAGGTAGCCATCTTACCAGTAGCAACAACGAAGAGCACGGTGATACACAGAAGCGAAACGCACCGGAAACAAAATACCAAAAGATAAGGGTCTGGCCGGGGATTGAACCCGGGACCTCTCGCAAGCTATGCTGTAGGGTTTTCCCTAAGCGAGAATCATACCACTAGACCACCAGACCGAGGAAGTGAACCTGAAGATCCACTCGTGTTTTGTTGTTGCAGGCTGCTCTGTCATTGTAGAATATATCGTGTGACTCTGGTTGAAAACGATTTCCCCGCTGGGTATCTCTTCAATCTCGATGTCTTGCAGATCAATGCTGGGTTAGGCTTTTCTGGGAATAAGGTTCCTCCATCTGAAACTCAATTGGCCGAGAGCACTGCAATGATCCCGAATGGCCCTGGATCGTGTAACAAAAACTTGGACGATCAACCCATTGGAATTGTCGATGTGTAATTCAAATTTGTTCACACCCGTGAAGACCTTGCAAGGCCCGCATCGACACCAATTGGTCACACTGACCTTTGGTCATGAGCTTTCATCCCAGACCAGACTCAGTTTGTATGCAGAGGCATCATTGCGGGGGGACGACTTACAGACTTGGCGAGTTCACGTGTCCGCCAGACATCAATCACAGCGTCAATAGCATGGAACTCGCAAACATTTGTTGTAGTTCTTTTTCATTATATTCACTTCGTTGTGGTCGTTGTTGACTCACTTTCCCATGCAGTCATTAGGTATCATTATCCTCTGTTCTGTTCTCTCATTCCCTCTCAGATATCAAGACCTTTGCTTCTAGTTGCCCTGTCCAACATCCTTGCCCTGCTTGATGCCCTGGCTCTGGCCTCCGCTGGCGGGAGCGTCCTGGAGACCTTGGCCATGCTCGTCCTTGCCCTCGGGAAGGTCAGCGGTCTTGTCAGCGCGGTCGACACGGTCAGACTGGAGTGAGAAGGTTAGTCAGGCAAAGACACAATATAAACGAGGTGACGATTTGAACGAATAAACTTACGTCGGGCTTGCCAACACCGTGGACGATGTTGTGGTCGGCCTCCTCAAAAGGGCCGTTGTCAGAAGAACCGTCTCCGTTGCGAGGCATTGTGATGTCTTGGTGGTGTTGAAGTGTTTTGAAGTGTTTTGAAGTGTTTGAGGTGTCTTTGAGGTTGGGCTGTAGTTGATGCTTGAGGATGAAGGAGTCGAATATCTGTTGAGTGCAGAGAAGTTTATTTATATTCCATCGTGTTGGGACCCCGCTGTAGGCAGTCGACAGTGATTCAGCATCGTGATGAGTGATGCATTGACGACGTCATTCCGAGTAACGTCATCTCGATGGATGCAATGGATGCTTTTCTGCCCCTCGCTCTCCGCAGCCGCAAACACGCCGTCTGTGGGGAACAAACGCCGGCCAGATTAGCCAGCCCATGTCTTATCCTGACGGCAGCTGAGCAAATGCTCCTTGATGGGACCTGCATGAGATTATCCACCCACTGGACAGCCCGAATAGTCGTCTGTTAGTTAGTTTCTATTGCGGATTTGAGTCAAAGAAGCCTGGCACCTGGCACCTGGGCAGCATCTTGGCCCATCCTCAGTTGCTATTTCAGCTTGATATGAATGCGAAGTTGGCGGAGCTGCAATCTACTAAATACACCACCAGTAGCTTATACATGTCTGCTGACCTCTGCCACCGGTTCTCTTGAGTTCAAGGTCCATGATTGGTTCCACAGAAGCATCTTGTCAGAGCCGCCCACGTCACGAACCTCAATGATAAAACGCCTCAATTATTGCTTGCCCTGATTACTCTGTATCGTGTATGCATAGCTAAACCATCCACTTCCACGAAATGATCCATGCCTACTAGTCATATTGATCGCCAAGACTTTTCAACAAAGTGTAAACCATCCTTCAGTGACCCGATCCCAATATCTCAACAATGACGGCATATGAAAATATCACAAGCTACTGTGCAATCTACACAGTTCAGCTACTCATGCTGTACCCGGTGTCGGAAACGAAAGCGTCATTCAAGCTTTGCTGGAGCGTCCGCGGCGAGCTCTGGTTCTCGGCGCGGCCTTCTCTTGCTCCTCTTCCTCAACCACAGCGTCTTCCACCTCAGGGGCAGTCGCCTTCTTGGTAGCAGCCTTTCGTCCCTTTCTGACAGGAACAGGTTTCTCCTCAGCATCGGATTCCTCCTTTGGCTTCTGGGCCGAAGTTCTGCGTCCTCTCTTGGAAGGAGCAGGAGCAGGAGCGGGAACTTCATCATCGCTTTCGTTCTTGACCTTCTTAGTGGCAGCCTTTCGTCCCTTTCTGACAGGAGCAGGTTTCTCCTCAGCATCAGATTCCTCCTTTGGCTGCTGAGCTGAAGTTCTGCGCCCTCTCTTAGCAGGAGCAGGAACAGGAGCTGGAGCAGGAGCAGATGCAGCAGTCTCATTCTCACTATCATCCTTGACCTTTGCGGCTTTGCGGCCACGGGCCGGCTTAGCAGCGGGCTTCTCCTCCTCATCCGCCTTGGCAGCCTTGGATGTTCGAGCCTTCTTGGGCTGCGGCTCGTCCTCATCCTCCTCATCATCAGCGGCCTTCTTGCGTCCACGCTTGCCTTTGGCCTTGGGCTTCTCTCCGTCGTCGGTGGCGGCCTGAACGGGGTTAGAATCATTGACAGTTTGTATCCATGTTCAGGACTCACAGCTTCAGCGGCCTCTTTCTTCTTCTTCTGTGCTGCAGTCAAGTGAATACCCTTCTCACCAAGCTTGTTCTTCTCTGGGTCCTGAATGATGTCAACCACTGTAACCTGTGATATCGATCTCTATACATACCCCTTTGAAATCCTCAGGGTCAATGAAGCCCTGGTTGATACAGCGGCGGACCTTCTCTTGCACTTCAGGGTGGTCGCTATCAATGTCAGAACAACAAGGACAGACACAGGATACCAAAACTCACACAAGCTCATCGTAACCATCGATAAGGTCACAATCGAAAGTGCCATCACCTTGCTGGCACAGTTCACGGACATTCTCTAGCTGTTGGCCAGAGACACATCCCCTGATAGGTACCTCGGTATCAGCGATCTACTATCAGTATAGCTGATGAGCTGCAGATACTTACCAATGTTTCCATGTCCAGCCTCCGTGCTCCTGGATGACGACGTAGGTACCAAACCGCAGGGTGCCTTTGGTAACTTTGTCACCGTTCTTCTTGCACTCAGTGTCCTTGCACGTGGCACGGTTGTTGGGGGATAACTCTAATGCAATGTGAGCGAACTGCGGCAACAGAGCAGACAACAAAGGCGCTGCAGCGTAACGCGATCATGAAGAACGGGGATATTTTGGGGCCTCACCGATACGATATTCACCCATCTTGGCGGCAATAGAAGGTATGGTACCAAAAATTGAGCGTCGAATAGAGTGGTAGAATGAGAGAGATGAAGAATGCAAAGGATGCTTTGGCTTTGGATACCTAAAGGTAAGATAGGTAGGTAGCTTGTTGCGCTGCGCGTTCGCACGGAAGTGGGGAAAAGAAAATGGCTGTTGGAAAGACTGATGCAGGAAGAAGAAATCTCTTTTTCGTAAAAGGGACGAGAGATTATATACGCGAGCTTCTTTCACTTCTGGCGCTCTGTGAATAAAAACAAAGCAGAAAAAGTGCGATAAGGTGAGATGAGTGAATGAAGGTAGGAAGTGCTGCCAGCTCAGCGTTGGGGATGTACGGTAGTAGTATGGTATGGTATGGTATGGTATGGGTATGGTAGGGTAGGTTACCTTATGGTAGGGTGCATTGCGCGCGACCAACGCGTCCCCAGCATGCAGGAGTGGTGGCATGGCTCCTTCCTGCCCAGATTTCCGCCTGAAACGATACCTACCTTACCCGTGGAAGGTTACAACCAATAAGGTAATTACCAACATTGCTAAATAAAGAATAAAAATGTAATAAAGGAATAAGGCAGCAAATAGAATGACCTGGGATTTTTTCTTTCTTTTACATCTGGTGAATGACTGCCAATTGTTGTAAGCGCGAGACACCTAATTCTAAGCTTTTCTTGCTCTTTTCACCCATAACTTGCCCTCCTGACGTATTTCTCTCTTTGTTCTGGGTTACAGAAACGGACACCAGCCTATGTACATTGCAGCCAAATTTCTGGGATCAACCGCTTGTTTGATCAATTCCTCCACCTGACCCTCAACGCCCAAAGGAATGCTTTCAGTTGGAAGCAAACCCCTGACTTTGCGCTTGATGCTGTCTACGACGCTTTGAGGCTGCAGCTTGACGCCCACATCTCCTCGCCGATGTGCCCGTTTCTCCTTTTGTAGATCCAGCGTTGGATCGTAGATGAACGCCTCGAGAATTGTCATTAGAGTCTCCTCTTGCTGACGAAGAATGCTCAGAGTTAGCTCGCAAGACTTGCGAAATGGTCCTTCATAACCATATATACCCATCGCAGCCACCATGTTGTGGGTAAGGCGGAACGGCACTCTTTCAGGTTTGGCAAATGTCAGGCCCTTGTCAAAGAGACAATTGAAATCGACATGGAATACTCCACCATTACCCTCCTCCAAATTCACGTTCTCGCCATGTCTATCGCCAAGCCCTAGGATCGTGCCTACCATGGACATGACAGCACACGACCTTGTGTATTTTAAACGCGCAGCAAACCACGTTGACGGACTAGGGAACTGTTGTGTGAACCACAGCTGAAGTACCGGAGGAAATCTCCCCAGGACCTCATCAGTAAATATCCTGGTTTTGCCGTCTGATAAACATGCTTCATCCATTAGTTGCTTAAGAACCGTGTAGTCGGGGTAAATCTTTCGGGAAGCATAAAGGTTGATGAGAATGTCTCGCATCGTTTTGATTCCTGGAACCCATTCGATGATTCCGCACTCTTCATTGAGGGGCGTTACAGCATATGTTCGAATGTAAAGCTGTCTCCGGCTGGATTCCGCATCTCGTTTCAACGACCGATTGATCAATCCGTTGAATTCCATAAGACGCTGGTCAGTTCGCAAGTCATCCTTGGGTTTGATCAGAAGCATGTAGCTTTTGCCATCACTCCCTCGTGTCGTAAGTCGTCTTGGCTTAGCCAGCGAGCTCAGCACGAGCACATCGTCCAGAAAGGAGTCAATTGTAACAACATCTCTAGAAAACGCCTTGTGCTTTTTAACATACTCTGATACAGCCGGTAACGTTGCCGTCAAAGAGCTCTCGACAGGCACGACCAACGGACATGGGGTACATTTATGATTGAATCGAAGATCTTTACCCAGGCTGGCATGAACAGTCTTGTTGCCCCGGAAGTCTCCGTTTTGGCATGCAAGAAGCAGCTGCTCGGCTAATTTCTCTCCCATCCTGAGCAAGTGCTTGAAATCGGTTGTAGAGCCCTCAACTTTCTTCGATATGTTCCTGAGTGTCTGAAGGATCTGGGTGCCTCGTGCCTTTCTTTCCGACACTTGTCTTGTAGTCATGATGCCAATAAGGCTCCAAAGCGCTTGCCGAGGATGAGCTTCCACGACCTTGGCAATGATGTGTGTCAGCCGGTCAAAAACGCTCGAGTTTGGGTGGGCAATGCGTGCAACAATCTGTGGCAAAGCTGTATAAAAGATGTACGCCGGCAGCCTATGTATGTATTTGTCAAGGAAAGAGTGCAAAAGATTGAGTTGCTCAACGCGTCTTCGGTGAAGCTCGCGAGAAAGCGATGCTTTGCCTTCTGGTGCCTTGTCTACTTGGGCACCAAGGTCAAGCCAGAGAGTCAAAATTCGTGGCAGAGTCTGGTAAAGATATTTGGTGCCCGAGTTAAGTGAACGGACATAGTTCTCGATGACGAGTCTAGCGACTTCACCGGTGATGTAGTTATCGCTCTGGTCATCGGCTTTGAGCGGCTTTTCAGCTTCGAGAATCTTCTTGTAATGACGGCCAAGATAATAATGCCCCTTTTCCCAAGTCGAGAAGGTCTTGGGCGGCTGCTGATATTTTTCACGCAATGCACCGGCGTGTGTCTGCCCGGCGCTATCAAGCCATTTGGCAAGCAGCAGCTGCGCCCTAGCCGTCAAGAGCTTTTGTTGTGGGCTCAACTTGCTTGAACTTGTGCTGTTTGCTGTCCCTGTTTGTGTCATGAACTTGTTGCTCTTGATCGCTCCCTGCAAAACCTGTATTGCCTTTCGGTGCTGATCTTCTCTCCAAAGGAGCTTGGCATTCTCAATAGTAGCCGCATCATCGCCTAGCTTCGAAGCGTGGAGAATAGCATTGAAAGACTGGTGAAGCGAGTTCGACTTCCGGGCAAGGCGTGCACTCGAGAGCCATAGCCCAGAAATGTCTAGGTCAGTGAACGTAGGTCTGCGCTGGTGAGTATATGGGCTGTCGATAGCTCTTGTACATTGGATCTTACCTAGTCAACTCCATGGTGGCACGGCGAATACCAAGAAGATATTGCTTATCGTTCATGTAAGCACCTATAATTTCGAGTCTCCGTTCTAGAAGGGCTGCTGTCGTTTGGCGTGCGACTTCGTCGCCCGATTTTGTTCCTATTATGATTTCCACGTCCGTAAGAACATGTGATTTAAGAAGGAGGTCATGACAGGCTTGTAGCGATGAGGTGGATGCGGCGTTCATCGATGATGAAATTTTGACTCTTATATCCTTCATTATCTTAATGAGCTCTTTAGGCTTGTCTTTGGCCCTGAGCTTTTCGAAAAGGGTCGCAATCGAGATGTTGAAGTCTTCAATAGGGTCGCCGCGAAACCGTCGAGCGAATTTGGTAAGGCTCTCCCATCTTCCTGTAACCCATGCCGCCTCTACTGCATAAGGCATGATCTTGTTGTCCGTTGATGCATCGGTGTGCATACCCTCGATGTGATTCAACAATCCTTCTGTCAAGAAATTAGCTTGTGTCGGGACAAAAGACTGAAGTAACTTACCGTGCTGGCCAGCCTGCTTCAGGCAATGAAGCAAGTCGATCTGGATATCCGTGTTGTCAGGGCTCTCAGCGAGTTGCATCTCGTACCAGTTCTGAACAGCAGTCCACCTGCCTGCTTTGCGATGACTCAGAATCTGTTGGTTGATGTCAAGAACTTGCAAATGAGCTGAAATTCCATCAAGGCCATCAGGCTCATCGACATTGGCATAAATATCTTGAAGTTTTTGTAAGAGACGGGTACGCTCCCCTGGTTCTTTCTTCCTCTGTTCCATTTTATGGGCATGTTGCTCTAAATGAAAAAGAGCACGTGCGTATTCATTGCAATCGACAGCCCTTTGTGCTATGAGTTCGGCTGGGATCAGATCGAGAGCTTCCTGCACTTGAGCTAGCCTCTCCCTATCAGTCTCAGTGAGGCGACCAGCTGCTCGCCTAGTTTGCATCCATCTCATTGCGTAGTCTACAACGCGAAATACAAGCTAGTGAAACAGTTAGTTCTTGTCACAAGGGTAAGGGATTCTGAAGCCTACATGACAGTATCGCCGCATATCCTCCTTCTCCTGATACGATGCCGTCTCAGCAGGCTGATATTGCAAGATAGCAAGAAGTTCTCCGAGAATATCGTCCCTTTCTTGCTGTGTAGTCCGAGACCCTAAAAGAGTATGCAGGACTATATAGGGAAGGATGAATTCGGCAATAGAGAGATCTTTAACGCGAATGACACGTGCCAGAGGCTCGAATATCAAATCAGCAAATGGCGTCTGCCCCTTACGTAGAAGGTCCAGAACGTAAACTCTGAGCCAACTCGGATAGGGCCTGCCAGGACGAAAGAGCGGATACTCGATCTCGGTGTGTGGCATTGGAGCGACGACATACCGGGAGGCTAGAAAGGGTGCCACCACTTCCCGAACAGTTTCCGGCATTGCAACCCATTTTCGATAGATATCGTTTCCACCTTTCATCCCTGAGTTTTCCATGGCACAAGCAGCTTTGATGTCGCACCTGCCCATGAGTTCCTGCATAGCAAAAGACAAGAATCCCTGGAACTTAACATCAGTCGTGGATAAGAATGCTGGCACCAGGGCCTCTTCCAGAAGAAACAGAACAAAGTCCGTTGTTTCTTCATTCGTCGCAAAGTTGTTCAATATGACTATTGATCGTTGTTCTCTAACAGTCTCGATCTTACTGGGGTCCAGGCAGCCTATCAAGCCCATTGCTTCTGTACATAGGCGCGCTATGTCTCCTGGGAAGCCGCTGTATTTACTTGCACAATCCAGAAGCGACCGCATAAGTGCGACAACGCCAATATCTGACTGTAGACTAATCTCAGATGTATGAAGTGCCGCTTGGTTTTCCTGGAGGTATGGTATCAGTTCTGTCAATGCTTGAAGGGCAACACCGGAGTTTTCGTGGCAAATTCTCTCAGCGAAAGCTTCCAAAACCTCTTCAACCGCGAGTGTTGCTGGTCTATGCTGATCCATCTTTGTCTCGATGTCCCTCAACTCTGGAATGTGCCTCAGCGAAGGGAGCTTGACGATGTACTTCGCAACAAGATGGTCAAATTCATCGACGAGAGACTTGAGCATTTGCTGCGCTAGAAGAGCTGTTGACTCGTTCATGAAGGGCCAGTAACGGGTGACGACAAAAAATGTTGTTTCTAATAATGCCTCGACATCTGTCTCCTCAAGGTGTGTGAGCATCGATGCCCAACATGAGAAACTTGCTTCTCTCAGTGCATCTTGTGCCAGTGTCGAGAGCAAACAAGCAGACATCTAAGAATACAGTCAGTATTTTGAATCAATGCCGGACACCTATGACACGTACTTGCGGTCTGGCGGTGCTTGCATAGCCCCTCGACACCCTGATCATTTCCTCCATAGCCCGAATGTAGCGCCGACGCTCTGGGTCAGGAAGGCTCTGGTCATTGATAACGTCGAATAGACATGCCATAAGGCCAAGAAGTTGTGAATGAATAAACCGGGCAGTGTGATCCGACTTCTTAGCTCGGGTTTCTTTGTTTGCTGGGATCATCATTTTCGCCATGGTGTCTAAAGCTTTGCGGACCTGAAAATGCATAAGCTTACGCCAAAGGTGCATTGATGTTCGACTTACTGGTGCCTTTTTAGTTTCATCTGCGTCGCCGGCAGCTTTAAGTAACTCTATGACAGTGAGCACTGGTTCCACCTGAAGCAGGTTGACGAGGGGCTCGGTTTGAAAATGTGTCGATAATTCCTCGAGGCGAGATTTTGCGAAACCAGCGATATCGTCTGTATCTTGAACCAAGAGCAAGGCCAGAGTTGCGGCTAGGTTCGCAGGATCGATTAATGGTAGCCAAACCTCGGACTCCTGCCGTGCCTCCGCAATCTTTTGGATAACGTCTTTTTGCTTGTCAAGCACAAGCCACGGCAGTGCGTGAGTTTGAATCAGGAGGAGTAACTCGTTGACAGACACTTGTAGCAATTCAGCAATTGTCCGGCTCATTTGAGGGCGTTGGACCATGTCCTTGGTGGTCATGTATGCTAGATTTGGCCAGAAAGGCTCGAAAAGCCTGCGTGGGGTTACTCGACGAGCATCAGCTAGGTTCAATAGCTCATTGAAGGCGCAAGCTGACACGATATTGTTATTGCTTCCCAAGTACTCCAAAAGCTTGATGAGAACCAAGTTGAGTTCGTGTTCCCAGACCACTGTTCCTAATTGACCCCATGCCATGATAAACGTTTCAGTTAAATTAGGCTGGTTCTTATCTGAGATTGATTTCAGGAAGGCAATCGAGTTTTTTCTATTGCGCGAGATCAAATCTTGCGTTTTCATGGGAGAGGATCCATTTGATACATTTGGCCGGAAGTTGCCATCTGTGAAGGTCGCCTGAGCCCGATTCACTCGTGGGTTCCCAACACCGTTGGCTTCTGCTGGTCGAGCCGGAAGAACCATGCTGGAAAGAATGGGCTCTGGCCTAGCCAAAGAGAAGGTGGCCAAGACACGCCCGGCAGCTACCCGCAGCTCCCTCACAGAGCTGTTTAAGGACTGAAGACACCACTGGCCTATCCCAGATGTTTCCAGGTTAAGTAATTCAGTATCCTCGCAGTGGAGAATCACTCTCCTTATAGCCAACATGGTAGCAACCCTCGGACGCCGAGACTCAGCAAGAGCGGGGAGGCGGATCAGTTTGGTGAAGAGTGCCTCGATTCGGGATTTATGTACGATTGCTCCATGAAGGTTTGATCGGACTGGGGGTGCATTATGTTCACAAATGGAGCAGGCTGTTTCTGTCACTGCTGCTTTTGCATCATTCATTGTCTCGTTGCCACCATCCGCCGCGCAAGATATCCGCGATAGCAAATCAAGCATGAGACATTGACGTGATATGTCAGCTTTTGGAAAGGCTCCCCTACTTCAGTAAGCATTTGAAGGCCAAATCAGTGAAACGACTAACAATATCTGATTTTCAAGATCAAGAAACTCATCGTCCACATCCACAACCCCTATAACGTCACCCAAACGTCTCATGAGGACCGCCATAGGGCTAGAGTCTGTCTGTGCTATTTTTCGGCGTTTGGGACGGTCTTGTGAGCCTGTGTCGGGAGGCTCGTAGTTCAGCGCCAAGGTTTCGATGATCTCTTGCACTGCAGAATCCTCAAAACTCAGAGGATGTAAGTTTGAAGAGAGCAGCTTTGGCCTGGGATTGAAATTAATCTGTCTCAAAGTCTGTATCACTCTCTTGTTGAGAATTAGTTGCTGATGGAGGAATTATGGAGGATGTGACCCACCCACAGATCTGTTCCTTCAGGCAGGGAAGTATAAAACATTGAAGACTCATCTATAATGCCGGCAACCGCTAACCGACAAATCGACGTGTTTTCGGTAGAAGCTGCTGTTATTATAGCTAGAGCCATGCAGTATGTATGCCGCGTTTCCTCATCAATGTCTAGCATTGACATGGGATTGAGGCTTCTCGCGATCTCACCACAAAGCAATACCATGAGAGTGATGGCCTTCTTATGAACAGAAGCGCTGATGCCTTTTTTTCTCAGTAGTGCTCGCTCAATTTCCTGAGCCATTTGGAGAACATAAAGTGAAGAGGCAGGAAAGCTGCTACCGTACCGGGTCTGGATAACCCGCATGTCCCCTAGGACATCAATCAACCATACCACACTCTCTGAGAAGGAGGAAACGTTATCAAAGGCATCATCTGAAGCTGTGAGAGGATATGCGGCCACTTTGCAAAAGCTGATCAGTTGGTGCAGCGCTTGTGACATTCGGTCAACAGAATATGTAAGTTGGCTTGTGAAGGGCGACCCCTTCTCAACGAATTGGCTGAGAGCAATTTGAGGAGGTAGAGAAAGTGTTTTGAAACTTTCTTCCACTGATGGAACTAGGAGAGGGTCTTGAAGCTGTTGAAGGATATCTGTCAATTGATTGTGAGTTGCTGTATTGTCCAAGCCGAGCTAACTACTCACGAGATGTGATGGTACGCAGATAGAATAAGAATGATGGCGCCATATCCCACAGGGTCCAGTTTTGTGCTATTATTAGCATTGTATACTGGAGGAAGCCTTCTATTGCTTCTGTGAGTTCAAGACACTGGGGATGGCCAAGAAGTCTGAGCAGCTGAGGAAGTAGCCAAGCCCATAATGGCTCCCGCCCACGGAACATATACTCTTGCTCACCCACTCTATGTTTTAGAACTGCAGGCGTTTCTTTGATAGAGAACCTGAGGAAACTGATGGCCTTGAGGCCTTCAGTCCGTACTTGTGTTCGGTCAAGAAATGGGTCATCTAATCGAATTCCTTCAAGAACAGCTCTTGAGTAAACGTAAATAAGCATATGATTATGCTCAACTCGGTCCTCTGGTGTCTTGAGAAGAGTCGGATCATCTTTAACACGTTGAATAATAGCAAAGAAGCCTTTGAGTTCACTGTTCTCATCTGATTTGGAGGATTTCGTGGATGCTGAAATATTCTCCACAAGCTGCGCAGCTAAGGTTGATGGAGGAGGGCCAGCAACGACTTTACCGGCCGGTTGTCCATGATCCGGCACAGCCGACCTTAAGTGCAGATTGGCCGCCATGATGCATGCAGCATCGTTTGGTGCGGCTGTATCTTGTTGCTTCAAAGATGAATGATCAAGATTGGCGCCCGGAGGTAGTAGTCAAGTGGTAGGTTAGGTCCCTGGTAGGCACTAGTCAAGGCACCTTCGACGTGGACGACGCGACGGGACTGGTCACGGTGGGGCAAACACGAAATCACGTGACCAACGAGAACCATTTAGGGGTTAGCTCTCTGGTGTTACAGTAGGTATCAGATCCATACCTAAACGACATTTCATTACGATGGTTGACATACAATGGCAGAGGCTATATAGTGGTATCTATATATGATCTCACACACTCATCTCCCCTTCTTACTCTTGTCTGATTTCGTAACTTGTCTTTCTTGCTTGCTCAACGTTCATAGCGAACACTGATCATGTCATGTGTTATTCCTAGACGAGCGCGGCTTAGCCTTCGGTAGAATCAGAAACACTACGAAATTTCTTACCTCCAAGTTTGACTGTGTACGTGATCTCCGCTGACCCGTACACGGCTTCGATGGCCCCTTTCAGACAATAGTACCGATGCCAGCCCATGCGCCTGATCTTCGCAGTTCTCTTGACTGCTTCTGGGATCTTTCTTAGGTCAAGTGAGAGCGTTCCGATGTGCTGCGTTGTTTCGTCGAGATGGACGGGAGCTTTCCCGTCATTATTGTTGCTGTAAATATCGATCTCCGTTTGTGGCACATGGCCAAGCATTACCGGGAGATCGCATTGGTATTCTATCCGTGACGGTTTGCCTTCTGGGTACGACTCACCCTTCCAAAGTTAGTGGCAATGAATACGAAGCTTGGAGAGGAGTCAAGATACCTTCTGAATAAACCAACACATTTCTGAGACGACTGTTTCTTGCTCCTTTTCCGACCAGAACCTATAGCCGTCAGCAACCAGATTTACCCAGAAAGAATGCATACGAACGCTTCTCTTGGGTTGTGTTTCATCATATCGTATTTCGTCATTAAGCATGTACCGTACGATCGTCTTGCAATTCGAGATGCAACCTCCACCCGGGTGCCCGCGGGTTGATATCGACTGAGCCCATGCATCGCGGCACCTTTTACCACCGCCGTCCAGCCGCTTTCTGGTTGAAGAACATCGGTGCGGCTAGATATTGCATCACGTACGCGCGACTTCAAATATCGACTTTGCCCGAATCCTCCAACCATAATCACCGCGGCGACACCATCTCCCGCCATCTTGATCTGCTCCTTGATAAGACACACAACATCCTTCATGATGGGCTCAAAGATTTTGGTTTTCATATCGTCTTGTGTCATGGTGTATCGGTTCCGCCGTAGGCCAAGACTGGGATCGACTTTGAGAGTCAATGGTTCGCCCTTGGGAGAAAAGGTCTTCTTGAACTGTATCCCTCTGAGCGAACGGACTTGAAGAAAAGAAAACTTGGGAATCTTACCGACTCGAACTCACTCAAAGCTACTACGAGTCTCTCATCAGTCCAGTACTTGTCTCCATGAGTTTGTTTCAGATGCCGACGGAAGCGCATATTCAGCATGGACGAGCCGCACTTCCCGCCTGTACCCTCTGTGACTTCTTTTACTTCAACTCTGCCTATTTTGGTTACTTGATAAGAAATCAAGTCAACGGTGCCGCCTCCCGCATCGCAAACAACAAATTTTCGACCTACTTGTAATGTAGAGGGGCTAAGGGTCTTGAGGGTGTACAAAGCGGCTGCTTCCTTATCATTTGTTAGCAACACACTTCCCTCTGCAACTCAAAATCTAACCCACCGGTTCTGATATGAGCTGGATCCTCTGATTACCACAAAATCCTGCCATGGCTGCGGCCTGCTCCGTCGATTGCTTTGCTTTTGGCGACCAAATAGCGGGGACCGTGACGACAAAGTCCATGGGTGTCGATTTTACCACACTTGGCGATAGTCTCTTCTCAAGTAGACTGACGAAATGCTCATGGAGGCATGATAGATAGACCTTGGTCAGGTCTTTTGCCGATTCCCCCTCCTTGGTGATCTGGGCTGGATCATCCAGCTTTCTAAAAGGGTCTGGTCAAACATGGCAAATGGACTGAAGGCACAGCAAGACGAACAGCTTGAAATACCTGATCCTCTTCGCAGACTCGGGAATCTGAAATCCCCACTGCCACCCATTCGCCACTCTTCGGAGCTCAGTTGGTACTTTGGGACTGCTCTTGGAAGAGCCGGCCGAGGGCCATTCTGTCAAGACATGTTGAACATCAGGCTGCAAGGGTTAGCAAACTCACCCCGAGAGAGGTTAGGAAAACACTTACCCGAGTTGTGTCAGCCCAAGCGACACCTGAGTATGTCGTTCCAAAATCTATGGATACAACGATTCTGCGATTGCTCATGGCCGAACTACTTCCTAAAAGCTTCCTATGATTGTTTCATTGTCAACTATTTGTGGTGGAACAATCAGGCATGATCTAGTGATGTATGGGATATGGAACCTCTCTACCCAAAAGCTCATTCGTGAGCCTGGGACTCGCCCCAGAATGCACTCATGACGACCCCCAATTGGTTACAATAGAAACCAGCAGGGCGACGGAGCATTCTTCGCCAGCATCCGAGGATCTGTCTGTAATTCTGGACGTGGCCAGCCATTCAATCTGACTCTTCAGGCCTCATTTGTTGTGTGGGCCTGGGGTTCTTTGGGCCTCGCTCATCCTCACCGACCAGTTATGGAGCAATGACCACCACTTTTACCACCAACTTCGGCCTCATCAGGGCTTTCGATCAAATGGGTGGAGGGGTTTGGGCACTGCAGACTTGGCCTTGAGCAGAAACTCGGCGCAGCTACGAATGACAGTTACCCTGGTAAATTCAGGTAGTGGAGCATGCAGTGGCCGCCTAAGCGGCCTAAGACGAGACCGACTTTTGATGTCGTACAGCTGGAGACTTTCGGATGCATTAGGTACCTATCACCTGGTGCCTAAGTGAAACCATTGTTTGGATCCAACCGCAATATGAGGCTGCGAGTATTGAGTTCTTTTCCAAGAGTCTTGACGCCCATTGGTGGTACGCTGTAAGGTAGCCCTGATTTGTTGCCTTTGATTCGACTTACCAGAGGGACAGAACCAATCTAGCGGATTACTGGCCAACATCTGTCGCTTAATGATTTGCACGTGCGACATTGGCAGACTCATCTTCATCTTTGGGCTGTCATACACAAGAACTTTGAGTACAGCAACCCGTCATCATGGATCCGGAGGCGACGAAACAAGGATCCGTACAGACTCCCGCACTTAAGGACAAACTGGCCAGCGAGACCCATTTGCGTCGCTTCACGGAGAATGTGTTGGATTCCAGGCAGCAGGAAATCGAGAACCGGGAATCAGAAAAGGGCCAGCTGGCAGAAGAGGCGGAAACTCTCAGGAGACAACTTGCCGTCACCCAGCGGCAGCTCGCAGAGGCTCAGGATCAAATCTTTCGTCTACAGCCTAGGAGAAGAGATATCACAGAAACAGAGGCTAGAGAAGCCTACAAGGTCCTAATTGGGAATGTCCAGCGCTGGGTTGAAAACCGTGCTGCGTATGCTATTGAGGATCTGGAAATTGGCCGCCTTGCTGCCAGAGCATCCTCTCCAGAAGGGCTACGACTCGTTTCTCTTCTCAGGGAACAATCAAGACGATGCTTGAATGTTACGCAGGCTGATGAATTTCACATCACTGGGGTCATCATGAACTATCTCCACGTTACTCTGTTCTCAAAGTCCTTTTATTGTCCTCTCGATGATACGCAAGGCGACGGAACGTCGAGGTGGGTTGATGATCTCGAGAACACTATGTCTCGACTGCCAAGAGGTTTGTCTTAGTCCCGGGGCGTGATATATATACCAAGCTGCTAACATCTCACAAGATACAGCTCATTGTAGGGAATGGAGAAGCGAGACGCTGACTGCTTTGACTCACCAACCATCTTTCAGAATGCGCCGGCAAAGGTTTTTGAATTTTGTTGTCGACGATCTGTCAACTTTACTATCAATCATTGCCCCGAAGAGTCCTCCCGCTGAACTGCAAGGTTCTATTCGTCGAAGCATTGTAGAACCTGCAGCAGATCTCGCTCATCAGCTTCAACTGGCGCCAAGTGTATTTTCGTTGAAGTGGCCTGCTCGCACAGCCGCGACGAGGTTGGAGGTTTACCAATGCTTGAATCTGGCGAATGGAGGAGCAACTCTTGACTTGAGTGGAACCAAGGCGGCTTCTCAAGCACGCCGCGGTGTTATATATCTATTTGATATAGCTCCTGGGCTTTTCGTTGAGAGAGTCGAAGGTGGTAGAAAGCTCGGGTTGAAAGCAATTGTTAAACCCACAGTTCTCGTCACCAACTCAGGTGGGGATGTACTCCAGGGTCCAACAATCATGAGTTTCCTATGGAACAATACGCCAACTTCTCAGGGAACTAGTCGAAGCTCATCAAGAGCATCAAGTTCAAGGAGTAAGTACAGGTATTCTCCACACCCTTTTAAGCTCTGACACGTCTTAGGGCCAGCTGGATCTGTCATATCGGCATCAAGCAGACAAAGATATTAGTCCGTGTCTTATTAAATTGTGTTCTTGTAAGGCGTAGAAGTCAGCAAACAGAAACAACAGCATTAAAGGATGAAACGATGAACGGAGAAGAATAAAACGCAATGCTACTTTTATTGTCTTGAGGATATCATATTTGGGTATTTTAAGGAAACTGGGCTAGAAATGCTTTTATCGATACCAATAACCACCATAACCTTCCTGATGAGTAACGATTACCGGTATACTGCGAACTCGACGGGTTGGCCGAGGAGGGAGAGGCGGTGGTGGGGCGCCAACTTCTGATGCAGGTCGCCGCCGACCAGGAACAGGGACTTGTAGAGTGTTTCCTGGGTAATGCGGCGCGAGTGGCCTTGGGGGAAGTGATGGTGCTGATGGCCGTGACTGTGAAGGCCGCCCGAGCCTCTCGGGCACATTCGAGGCGGCATTCCTGGTCCAGCGCGGACCTTGAACCACCTGAGGTTGAAGGTGTAGGGGTCTTTGGCCAGGTGCCCTGTTGTTCGGCGGTGATGAATCTCTCCCTCTGGGCGGCGTTGCTCGCTTGACCTCGCGGGCAGGTTGCTTCACCTTTTTTGCGGGATTCGGAACTTTTCTCACAACTTTTGGCTTCGGTGGTCCGGTAGCTTTCGCGATTCCAGTTGCTCCTTTGTCTCCTGAGGTTTGGCCAGTCGGTGCTGGAATGAAAGGTCGGACACAGTTGCTGATATAGTCGTTGGTGACCCCTAAGGATGTGGCATCATCAATGCCTGAGTTGATTCTGTTGATATACTCCTCTTTTGGTTCGCTATCGACAATGTATCTTGGACTTATGTATACCAAGATGTTCTGTTCCAAATGTGGCTTGTGGTTGATGGCCTTTCTCTGCCCTTCCCCTTGCTGGGCAAGGACTCGTGCGTGGTCTGGGCCACCATTGTTGACAATCCAAGACACAGGTCGGCGATATAAGGCGGCTTCAGCACGCCGTAGCGTAATAGTCATGTACTTCTTCTGGTATGCGTCCTTGGAAACACCTTCGTTGATGTCAAGACGAGCCTCATCGCGGGGATTGATCTCATAAACAAGGCCTTCAACCCAATGTCCTTGAGACTCGATAACATTGGCATATCCACGCTCGTTGATCTGCCAACGATGATCTGCCAGCTTCCCAGAGCCGATGAATTTGCTTCCAGGACATCTTCGTTTCATCTGCTGTAGATGAAGATTACTACCATAGGCAAAGTAATACTTGGTGAGCGGCTGGCCGGTGTCGGCCTGAGCCTCATCTGCAGACAAATTCATGATGTAGATCTGTCGGAGGCAGCAAGCTCCGTGTATCCGATGGCGAGATGCAGGGTAAAAAACTGCGTATGTTTGTGTGTGTGTGTTGCGTTACGTTTTCGTTGTGGTATGAAAATGTGATAGTGAGCTAACGGCGATTAAGATGTGATGTGAATCGGCTCCCTCACATGAGAAAAACAACATCGATCAAGCAAACAGTGTCCACGTCGACTTGGCTAAAGCATAAACTAACTTACGTACAGTAGCTGTGGTCAGCGCCAGCAGCGCTCAATGGGCGGAGCGGGCTAGGTTGTGCAAGTCACCGACTGGGCCTTATTGTCACATTGGGCAGCAAATGAGTCAGATTTTCACAAGAGGAGACGCCAACTCATGGCCAATTGCTGCGTCCCACGTTGGAAGACTCGCAAGGTACCTGGCAAGCGAACTTGACAGGGTAGACGCGGTTACATTTTGGTCAATACCGACTGTCTGGGCCTTTACAGATGATAGGCAAAAACAGGCGTCGTTTGATAGCCTCAGAATATTCAGACGCTACGAGACGGCCCAGCCCGCCTCCATTTCCTTGTTGGGCTCCGCACCGTGGCCCCGGTCTTCCGGCATTTCTCCCCGGAGCCCCCCGGCCAGATCCACAACAACAGCTCCCGCCAAACCATGCATCCGCACCGCCATTCGAGGCCAGAAAGGCTTTTGCTGTACTTAACCTGAAGGCGAGGCGACAATTCTGAGATGTGACAATGACAGCTCAGGTTAGGCGAGCGAGCGTGTTACTGACAAAAAGCTGAGAGCCAACATCTGACACTTTTGTTGTGGTTGTGTTTGGGTAAAGCACGCGACCGTATCCAGACGTTTTGAACAAGGCACAAGCGCATCAGGAAACAGGTGATCGCCTTCATGTAGAACGACTCCTTCTCTGCAGCAAGTCTATTATTCAAAAACCAAGGTGGTTGTCTTATACAGCTGCATGGCCAAATCCGCCACCTTCAACCCGACCCCAGCCAATTTTACCATTCTTTCTTTTTCGAGTCCCCAAATACTTCCCACATCTTGTCGATCATGACGGTATCAAAGCTCAGGCATTACAACTTCGGCGTGGAGATCGAGGCTGTGGTAAAGCCTTACGGTGGTGCTGATAGCTTTACCAATGTCGACTGGTATCGACAATTAGCACAGAAGCTACGGAACCGCAACATCGAAGCTGTTCACGATGACTGTTCAAAGTACAGCAAGCATCCGGAGTACTACGGTGGTAAATGGTTCGTCACTCGAGATGGATCTTTGAAGAGAGAGCGTCCCATGGGTATGTCATTCTCTTCACCGCGAAACCAGCGAACGGTTTAGTTTGCTCACTAACAGGGGATCCTAGTCTGCATGGAAGTCGTCTCTCCTCGCCTAGATACCAAACAACATGTCAGCGGCATACTTGGCGACTTTTGGGAAGCGATGCGTGTACACTTCAGTCCCCAACGCGATATCTCCTGCGGCGGCCACGTCCATGTCACTCCCGTCTCTGGTCAGAACAAGTTCTCCTTACGTGGCCTCAAGAAGATTGCGTTTGCATCTGTTGTTTATGAAGAATTTGTGGCAGCTGTCCTCCCCAAAGCCCGTCGAGAAAACCAGTACTGTCGGCCAAACAGTCAAAGCATGGGTTCTGGGTTGCGTGAAACCCTGATACGATTCGGTAAAAGCAAGGGCTCACTTCTCCAAGTCGCATCAGAAATCAAGTCAACAACATCCGAAATGGATTTATGCTACTACATGCAGGGGAACCGATACGTGCTATGGAACTTCCAGAACATTTTCCCAAACCCCAAGACAGGGAAATGTACTGGCACAGTTGAGTTCCGGGGGGGCAACCAATTCTTAAGTACGAATGGGACTCTTGCTTGGGTGGCTTTCGTAATGGGATTCATCACACTGGCCCTGGAGGAGGTAAGTCGCTCGAACAACGTGCTGTGCTCAAACACTCTGCTGACATCTCTTTCAGGATCTCCTTAACAAGCTTACTACTTATACTTCGCCCGACAACCCAAAATTCCAGGCACGTCTCGAGGACTGGTGGAAGCGGATACGTCAAGCGGCTAAGCAATCAAAACTTTCTCGATATCTACCCTCGGAGTACATAAAGATGCACACCAGATAATCATATGGCATAAGATTTCTGCCAAGACGACGACAGACCCGACCCTATGCCGCCTTAGGCTCAGGGTATATGTTCTTTGACTTATTATGGACACAGTTTCAGACACAGCATGATTATGATTTAAGTTAATGGAGCTTTTTGGTGTTTAGGCGTACGCATGTTTTTGACATTGGGGATTAATTCTCTACGTATTTGATAAAGTGGAACAGGCCCAACGACTGGGAGGGGATCATAAAGGGGTCAAGCACATTTCTCTTTAGTAGGTAGCGTATCAGCCAATCTCATTTAAGTAACGCCAAATTCGTTCATCATGGTATCCAATTTCGTTCATGACTCTTCGTCCTTTGTCTCGCCCTCTTCAAATAGTACAAGCACCGTACCAGCCTTGCAAATATCCTATATGACGTTAGATGAGATAGCAGAGAGTATTACCCTGGGAACTTACTCCTTCTTTATGTGCAAGCTTCTTAATTATACCATCCTGTGGTGACCGGATGATAGTTTCCATCTTCATTGACTCAATTCTGGAAGGTTGTTAGCTTATTCTGCATATCGGAATTGGTCAACTTACACCACAAGTGGTGCTCCCTTTTGCACAGTTTGGCCCTCCACCACTTCGTTCTTCAAGATCTTGCACGGCATCGGTGCTGCAACTGAGGCGCTTGACTCCTTAAGCCCAAGAGCTTTCTCGTACCACTTGGGCGGTAGAAGAACAAGGTCTGTTTTCACGCCATGCTGGAAAACGGTAACCTTTGTATCATTGCCTGTGTGCTGAGGGACCACTGAGGATTGAATGCGCTCAAGGGGGAAGTATGATTCGAGTTTCATCACTTCACCTTCAGGCTCAGGCTGGCAAGCAATATTTGTGAACACTTGGGGTGCCTCGTCACCTTTTCGGTGGACAGCAACGTTGTAAAGGTTATGACCTGTCTGTGTCACGCTGGCCTCGACGACCTCGCCCTCTTCCTTGCTATACCCATCCAGGATTTTAAAGTTCAGCTTTCGTTCCCCGATGTTGTTCGTTTCGCCAAAGCCAAGTGTCAAGCCATGGGCACCAGAATCCCGAAGTTCAAAGTTGATCATCCCAAGGGCTGCTTGGGCGACAACCTCATTCTTGATAGGTCGGGGTTTGAAAAGCTCCTCTCGCCACTTGTCGATGAAGCCCGTTTCCACGTCCCCAGCCACAAAGGCATCAGTCTCGCAAAGTCGCTTGAGGAATTCGATATTTGTAGCAACACCAACAATTTCGTATGAGCGTAGAACGCTTTCCAATTTGGCGATAGCACGTTCTCTCGTATCGCCTCGCACGATAAGTTTGGCGATCATGCCGTCGTATGCTTCAGAGATAGTGTTACCAGATCGGAATCCCCAATCCAGGCGAACATCCTCGTTCTGTAATTCAGTAGGGAGATAAGCTCTCACTAATTTGCCGGAGTCAGGAATAAAGCCCTTCTCAGGATTTTCGGCATAAATCCGTGCTTCAATGGCGGCACCCCTCTCGTTCATTTGTACTTCCACCTCTTCTTGGGAGAGTGGAAGCTTTTCGCCCGCAGCAACTCGGAATTGCCATTCGACTAGATCCAGGCCAGTCACCATCTCCGTGACAGGATGCTCCACTTGAAGTCGAGTGTTCATTTCCATGAAATAGAATTTGTTGGTATCCTTGTCGAGGATAAACTCAACAGTGCCAGCGCCGACATAGCCAACTGCTGAGGCAGCTTTTCTAGCCTTATCCCAGAGATCGTGTCGAGTTGCCAGATCTAGATCTGGAGCTGGGGATTCTTCGAGGATCTTTTGATGCCGACGCTGGACACTGCAATCTCGTTCACCAAGCGCGACGGTGTTACCCCATTTGTCGGCAAAAACTTGCACCTCGACGTGCCTTGGTCGAATGATGTACTTCTCCACTAGCATGACCTCGCCTCCTTCACCAAATGAGGCCTTGGCCTCGGCACGGGCACTTCTGAGTTGCGTCAAGAACTCCTCCTCAGTCAGAACGATTCGCATTCCCTTGCCTCCACCTCCTCGTACACTCTTGAGGAGCACCGGGAAAGTGATGTTTTTGGCATGCTCCAGGAGTTCCTGCTCGCCCTGGTCTGCTCCATGATACCCTGGCACACAGGGAACATTTGCAGCTGTCATAATTTCTTTACTACGGGCCTTATGTCCCATGTCGGCCATGGCACTAGCGGGTGGTCCGACAAACACGATGCCTTCCTCTTCGCAACGCTCTGCGAACTTGGAGTTTTCGGATAAGAAACCATAGCCTGGATGGAGTGCCTGGATGCCATTTTGCTTCGCTAGAGCAATGATTTTCTCTCCATCAAGATAGGCGTTCGCGGGACCTAGCGCCAGAGACTGGAACCCCGAAGAAGCATGCCATGAGCCAGCGTCAACATCTGTATAGACGGTTGTAGCCCGAATGCCAAGGCGCTCAGCAGTCCGGTTGATACGGATGGCGATCTCACCACGGTTGGCGATAAGGACAGAATTGATGGGTGTGTGCTTTGGTGCAGATGATGAAGAAGACACTGAAGAAACAGACGCGCTTGAAGCAGATGTTGAGAGGAATCGAGGGAGAGGTTTCAAAGCAAGTCGACGATTTGCGCGAAGTGTGGAACGCATGATGAGCGATGGGGTTAATGAAGCGCCCAGTGTGAGATCAAGGAGCAGTATGCAACTTGACAGATTTTCAAAATGATTCTCACTGACATAAATAATGAGAGAAACCGACTGTAAATCTCCGTCCCGGGTGATGAGCCGTCCCTATGCCGTGAATGTGCTATGCCGTCGGCTTTGAAGGTTCAAGTCGGCAAGGACAGACGTGACCGTGAGGAGCCGCAAGTAACCGGTACCTAGGTACCTTCCCCAGACGACAGTTTAGAAGACTCTGGGGAAAGCGCGCCCAGTGTCATTACGTCATATTCCTGCAATGATGGGTGACTCAGCATATAGTGGATTTACGGAATGTACCGTGCAGCAAGTCGAGCCCCTCCACTACCTCAAGATATTGGATCACAGCATCATCAATCATCGCAGCCAATATATCATGGATCAAATACCTCTCAACTCCGAAGCTTCTCAGGGTGATACCCATAAGCAAACAACGTCGACTCTTCCGCCGGATGTCGTTCAATGCCTCGACAGTGCTCGATTTGTAAACCTTCCCCGCACCACCAACAATGCCATCACAGATCGAAGGCTGATAATCCATATAGCTTCACTTGGCAACATGCACCGATAACGTGCCCCATGTCTCTCTAATGAACTACACATATCTTCCCTCGTCACCTTATTCTAACTATCCCGTTATCATCATGACTACGAACCCGGCATCACGGAAGACCACAAACCTGGTCGCCAACCCCAATGTATCCCTTCTTGTCCACGATTGTAAGTCGCGTCCTTCACGTTCGAGATTAGTGAACCCTAAAACATACTTACAATACTTTCAGGGGTCTCCCATCGACCACCTACTCACGGCCGCCGACCATCTGGTGGTTCTCCTGGCCCAGAGCACCGATCGAGTCTCGCCTCACTCCTCTTGAACCTCAACACTTCAGCACTCTCTAGCATCAGTGCAACCATAGGAGGTGCCGCTCGTCTAGTGCCTAGCGGAACAGATGAAGAAAAGTATTACCGCGAGCAGCATCTGGAGAACAATACTTTCGATGAGTCCGCGGCTCAGCCTTTCCAGCGGGACAACGGACCTGTCGAGGATGGAGGCCGCAACTGCTTTGTAGCTGGTGAGGAAGTAAGAGTTGTTTCGGTCGATATCAAGGATGTACGCATTAGCGATTGGAAGGGTACTGTAAGAGACTGGGCGATCGTACCAGAAGGTCACCTGGTCAACGGAACTCAGCAAGAATGATCACGTCGCAATCCCACATCCTTTGCCAGAGCCTCATCGTTGTACTTTAGCAATCAGTTTTCGAGATGCAGTAAGGTACATTATTGGTTTCAGCAATTCAATGTGATAATATTGACCACTCTATTATTCGCAAGGCACAGGCGTTCCAGGCAGGGTACCATGTAGATCAATTCCTCAAAACCAGTACCTTTCTTACGCAACGAAGTAAAAGCAGGCAAAAAAAATATCATATCATATCGCCCTTCCACCAGGTCAAGCTTTGTGAGCCCCCGGGTTGCCGCAAGGCCACGCCAGTATAAATTTTCCTGATTCCCAATCAATTCCAGCCACCCAACGCCTCTGCAGACAAACAACTGTAAAGATAGATCAGACAAACTCATCAGATAGCATTTGACGCATGAAAGACATGGTCATTTCACCTCAGCTTATTGTATGTAGACGGCAGGCGCATCATCGAGCCCACTCAACAACCTCGAGGGCCATCATTACCAAAATAAGAGTAGAGGGAAGAATCCTGCATATGTTAGCGCAATTCGGGATGGATTACACCGAGCATCAGGTGTCATGACTTACCAGATGACATAGCTCTGGAACAAGATTCTGCCCATTGTCTTCTCAAATACACTGTTGATTTGACAAATTTGAGCAAGCTGGAGGGCGCTGGGAGCTCCGGTGAGCAAGAAACAAACGATAACGAAAATTGGATCGTCAAGAATGCTAACGGGTACATATTTGGCCATAAGCGCAAGCATGGGAGCCATGATGGCAGTGGGTAGAACCATACGGCAAAGAAGTGAGGCAATAAGTAGTTTGTTGCCAATGCGCTCTTCCTCAGGGTCTAGAGCCTCGTCCTTAGCCATGGTATTACGAGCAAGATTGGCGCCGAGAACAACGAGGATCAGTGGGACAGCGACATCTCCGCTAGAGCGAACGGCGTTGGTCACACTATTCTGGACGAAAGAGCCCTCCTCAAAAAAGAGTCGTTGAAGAGCTGGAATAGAGGCAACGAGGATGGCAATCAACATAGCCCAGAGAGGGGGGTTCATGAATTCCCAGATAAAGTTGTTGAATTTCCCGGCCACACGCTTCGTGATTTTCAAGCAAGATTTGACAGGAGCTGGAGACTTCTGGTACCAGTTGCTGAGGGTTTGGGATGTTGCCTTTCCAAGACGGATGAAGGGCGATTTAATGGCAGATTTAGTCCGGCCCGCGACGCCAGTCGGCTCTTCATGATCCTCCAATGCCGGGACACGGGGGAAGGAATCCATGCTACCTTCGTTTCCATTAAGGGGTGCAACAACATCCGGTTGTTGTTGGTTAATCTTGAGATGCGGCTTTTTGGGCAGATATTCGTCATCGCTAGAGACTGCCAGTGAAACTCGGGAGGCATTTGCCACAGGAGTACGGCCAGCAGGATCATAGTTTTGCGAGTCGATGCTGTGGCTGTCTCCCTCGTCCTCTGTTTCTCCGTCAAGGCCATCAATCAGAGGCGCATTCTGGTGGTCATCCTGATTCTCGTCATCGTGATAACGTTGGCCTTCCTCGGCAATCTCTTCGCGGTACTCGGGGTATTTATCCTTAGGGGCAAGAAGGACATGGTAACCCCAACTCCACCGAACGAGCTGACCAAGCTGCTGGAAGATAAGGAGGTAGAGAATACCACGCGCGCCAACTTCGTCATCGTTATCGCCCGGAACCTTGTCCCAATGCAGACCTTTCAGCGTTTGAGAGAGTGATAAAACAAGAGAGATGGGTAACGAGTTGGAGTTTCCGAAAACACCCATCGCTGTAACGAAGTTGGATGCCCGCCTGTTGAATCGGAACAACTTTGCGACGACATATGATACAACCCATGATACAAACGTTTGGACGACGAAGATGACCGGTATGATAGCGAGATCGGATAGCTTCTCAGCGTTAAGCTGGGAGGCGAGCTTGGTGAAAACTGTAGCGATATATTAGTAGACAGTACGGGTTTAGTGCGAAACAAGTACATACTCAAGCATGGTGTGAATAGCATCACATTTAGATTGGCCAAGAATTTCTGCTTCTCGGCATCGAAGTGGCCAAGTCGCGCAACGATGTAACCAGGTAGACTGACACATACTACTTCAAGGACAGCCTCGAACACGAGTAGGCAAAGATGCCCGATGGAAGGGTGCGATTCATGTGTGTTGGCGAGTGTTTGTAGGGGGAGTTCATATGCATCTTGAGCGAGCTGCGTCAGCCGAAACGACGGAACCGAGAACGATTTCCAAGAAGCCATCAAATATCAGCAATGCAGTTGGTGTCGTTGTTTTGGGAGAATAATTAAGGATCGGCGCGAATCGGGGAGTTCCTTGATGCTGCTTCTCTCGGCGTGCGCGCACACGTGGATATGAGACGACTGATAAGGCTCTGGAGAAATTGCACAAAAGCTGAGGGCGCAAAAAAATCGTCTGGGAGTTTCCGTTCGTATTTGCAAAGGCAATGCCTTTTAATTGTCCAAGTTGATTGTGCCGTGGGATGTTAAAAGGAGAAGAAAGTTAAAGAGGCCCAGCTAGTGATGGCGAAATCTAATGAAAGAGAACGCAGGGCGAGTGGGTTCGTTTTGGGGCGAGGCGGCGGTGCCGTTGTTAGGTAGAGCAAGTTTAGAGGACGATGCACGTTGATGAGACCTCCTCCATCATCGATTGATAACTCGAGCTAGATATAAGCTATGACAAAAGCCCCATTAAACTGCCTTGTTTAGGCTCCATCTACATCTGAACATCTCACTCTGGTTACCTCAATATGGGGCTTCAGCTCCTTGAGGAACCCTCTGTCTCATCGCGATTCACCTGCAACGCTGTCGCTGACATGGCGCAACAGCTGGACTCCAGCACCCTGATTGAGGTAACCCAACCTACCATCCAGGCCCATGCGATGCTGGCCATTGAAACCCGCCCATGTGTGCTGTGGCGCCGGAGCTTGTCCAAAGCCAGGGTTTAGTAGAATCTCACCTCCAACTAGGAACGGGATTTGGTTAACAAATGCCACGCGGCATGGGAGGCGTAAGAGGCAAATTCTTCGTCGATAAAGGCTCCCTCTGCCTTCGCACCCATCCAGAAACTATTTCTGCTGCGGTGTCACAAATGCTGCCGCCTTGGTATCATCGAGCAAACAAATGGTTTACCCCTGTTGTGTGACGGCCAGGAGCACGAAACAAACAGCAGCAAGCGATTCTAAAATGCGCAGATCCCATCGTCAGACGTCTCAAAATTGTTTAAGCCTCCGTGGCTCCACTACCAAGTAGGAAACGATCCCGCTTACAAGGGTTGTGGGTGGGAGTGATCTTCGGACGGGCGCGACGCACGATTTTAAGCGTGGCGCCAATCTTTCGTCATGGTGCTATCGGGCACGTTGCCTATCCCTCCACGCTGAGAGGCTGGAGGGTCAGGCCAAGAAAGGCACGGAGCAAAATTGCAGCCCATCACGTCTCGACGTTGACATAGGTAACTGCAACGAGGCTGTGTTACTGGCGATCGCATCGTCAGGGTTGTGTGGTATGTACACTGATATCAGAGGCGAAGTCTATCAATTGCGTAGTCAGTCACGCGAGGCTTTATGAGATCAAACCTGACGTTATGCAGCGAATATCATCGAGAGCACTACCTTACTGTGCTGGATTTGTGGAAGTTCGTCAGTACAATTACATAGCAGGCTTTTGCTACGTATGCTTCCAATGTTTAGTTACTCTCCCATCTCCCCTATCTACCTCCGAACGTATCCATAGCAAAACGACCTCGCATCTCCAGCCAGCTCGCATATATGCACTTGTACGTAGCACTCGAAAGACTTTTGCGTATCTCAAACAGGGTTTCATATTCCATTTTGACTACAATGAATATCAATCATCGCTATTTTTATCTCAGGAGAAATTTTACAGCAGCTAGTGTTTTATTAGCGTTCTTGTGTAGGTACATCGCAGAGTTGCAATGATCCAGGGTTGCTGGTGATTTTTAAAGGGTCTGTATCATAAAGGTTTCGAGCAGTTGTTCCGACGACCTTTTGTTTACGTTGGGAATTTAGAGTTTGATACTATGGTATGACCTGCATGGATCGCCCGTGTTTCAAACCATGCAAAGGTGAGTTGGGGATATAATAGCGACTCGAAACATCATCGATGTTTTCCTTCTCCAGAGTCTTGAGTCTATTTCAAGTTTGGGCTCGATAATCCTCGGAAGCTTTCAGGTTTGGATATTCTTACCAGCATTTTGAGGTCAGGGTCTCTCAGCTCGTTACTATTTCAGATATGGAATAAGACGCATGATAGCTACCTACTTCTCTATCAGGTGGACTCAAATTATCCCATCGTGGAGCTTGACGTTGACTATAGGAGATTTCCATCCTGCTAAAGATTATGTGCCGCGTGGAAAGACTTGGTTCATGGAATATTGGCACCAAGTGCTACAAGGTTGCCATGTTGATCGCCTACCTACCTACTTACCTATAGCATCGCTTCTGTTCCCAACCTCTTTGAGAAACATGCGCATGCATAGTACCGGTGAAGCTCATGTTACATGAATGCACTCTGGAAGCTGTTCGGTGAATCCTAACCGGCTTTTCTTGTCGTAATCAGCCAAATTTCTAGTAACAACGTCAGCCTCATCGTAGACATCTTTCCACTGGTTATCGGGTTGGAATCTACCTAAGTACCTAAGTAGGGGCCTAAGTTATTGATCAAGTTTGTGACGTACTGGACATTTTGTCTTGCATACTGTCTCAAGCCAGTCAAAAGCCGCAACAAGGACAGATAACGGTGCTTTTGTTGATATTGGTAGGACTAACAGAGGATGTTCGTGCAACCTCAGCATCTTGGCGTTTAGAGCTTTGTTAAACACGTATCTGGTCTACTGGTGTCCATGCGCACATGTAAAGGTGAGACATTCATATTCCGTAACTCTTAGGCGAGGTAGGTAGATACTAGGTATAGTAATTATCTAAGCCATGGATAATGCAAAGTTCTATACTTGATGACTTCATCCATTCAATGTGCTTTTTCAGGGATATTGAAACCCATAGTCGTAGGCAGGTGCTGTAATTTTAGTCGTTTAAGAAGAGAATGCACACGACCACAAGGTTTCGACTGCAGATATCTTGCAGATGGATGTCGGATAAGACATTCATATGTTTGGGTATTATTGTCGGCTTTGACGCTTACTTTGTCGTACAGACATGAGCCTCCACCTCAAACCAAGGCCTGACACTGACCACATTAACGTCATCGGTGACAGCTCTCCATCAACAATGGCGTCGCCAATTGCAAAAATCAAGGACAACTTGTGCACAGAGCCTTGAAATTAATTATCATTTTCAATATTGCATATGTTTTTATTTTGAGGTAAAATATTAAATGAAGCCTTAATATTCGCAGAGCTATATAAAATGCTGTCATCATGACGCCAGTAGACTTCTTAGATTTTATCTTGATGGAATATCATTATCGCCTATGATAGAATTTTGGTACAATTTTTCTCGTAAGGTGATGTTGTTTATGCCCTGTATGATGGGTCCTCGTAGCGCCCGTCGCAGGGAATTCTCAATTGATGGGCAATATCTCCCAATATGATCCATGAGTTGGGTGTGATCCCGGGCATGAATGGCTGGCCGGGTTGGCCCCTGAAAACGCGATTTGTAGTGGCGCTGTATCCAAGCCAGAGCACTCTGTTGTGTGCTACGGCCTGGTTTTGCTTGTCAAAACTGCCACACCATAGTCGTTCCATGCTCTGTCCTAAACTCCATATTACCAACATCCTCAGCCTCGCCTTCGCCCCCATTTATCACAAATACCTCTTGCGCCTACCTTATCAAATTACTTTCTCGCAGGATGCGCATACTGAGTTGAGCTGTTGATTTGTATAATTCGTTAGCACCTTTCCTCCTCCGTCTCGTTGCTGTTCTGCTCGACTGCAGAACCTTTGACCCCGCATCCAGCCATTGCCCATCACACTGCGTTGATACATGTGGTATCTGTCTACCTTACTTAAGGTACTCAAGGACTGAAACACTTCGTACCTTTTTCTTGATCTCGGCCAGACGTTTCCTCCGGTATGCATACAGCCTTGAATTACCCTCATATCCTTGAGTACATTGCACACACCACAACAAGCTCAGGGAAGTACCTTTCTTGATCTAACAACTTTTGTCCCAGTTATCTATCAAAACCTCATATTTCGTATGGGGTATACGAGCTTTCATATTTACCAACTTCTGTCCATTCGGCGAATCTGAGGACACAAGGATACCTGAAAGAACTTCAACGTGAAGTTTTCCAGGTTGCCATACGGTACTCCCACACAAGATTCACTCACTGTGGCCACATATCATTGCAAAATAACGCAAGACAAGCCCATTTCAAAGTCATCAATCCTGGCAGCAACCTTATCAGAACTTGCGTTTATTCTGGCTCATTACTTACCCCCAAGCTTTTTTTGTTGCTCTTCTTTCCCAACTACAAGAGCCCCTAGTCGTTGAGCCGTACTAGAGTCTCAAAGGCCTAGACCGCCCACTACTCGACTCCATTTAGCTCCGAAAGAATCGCACCATCTATTTCCCCTCCATCGCTCCTTCTTGTACCCATCTCTAATCGATCGCGTCCCGTCTCCCGATCGATAGCTCCCCGCGGTCTTGTTAGGATATTCGCCGTTATTTCCACGCTGCTCTGAATTTTCTGACCATTATTTTCCTCCCTACCATTCTCTTATCGAACCCATCCAACAACATAGTCACACGAATCAGTCTTTCTGTATTCTGATTCCATCGACGCACCTCTTATCCGATGTCTGCCTCCGACTCGATCCCGGCCACGCCGGAGGACTGGAAGGATCTGTCGACACCTGCATCTCCAGGCTCTGAAGATTCGTCAGAACCCAGTACGCCGCTCGAGTCTCCCAGTCATGATAGCCCAAGTGAGCCTCCTCGAAGAGTACCATCTTTGCGCTCCGTCTCCGATCCTCGCAACATGAACCCGAACTCAACTGCTATGGGTGTTTTAGGCATGGCCAGACGGCCTGTACAAACATCCTCGAGTTTTGCTGGAAGTAGTAGTGCCTCGGTGGAAAACAGTATAATGGCCAAAGCCCGAGCATTACATCGACAACGCATGGAGAAGGGCATGTCTCCCGCTGGAAACCCCGGGACACCCTCGGGATCATCGCCTACGGCCAGCGTCGCTAACGGATTCCCTACCAACCTGGGATTGCCGCCAAATATGCAACGACCACACGCACCACATGTCAATTCAGCTCCTGCGATAACGAAGCCCTCGCTGAGCGAGAGAAGGGCCATGGGCGGCGGCATGGGCATGAAGCTGTCTGATATGGGTAGACCCGGCCCCGCCACCGCCACTGGTAAGAAACGGGGGCCTCCTGGAAAGCTTTCTGATATCACAGGTGATGTGCCAGGTAGTCAACGATCCAACGGAGCAGGTGGTGGTCAGGGGTCGAAAATGGACGACTTCAAGAAATATATCGACACAGAGAAGGGCTGGGTGACCTTTGATGGCGCTGCCACAATCACACGGACAGGTGTCAACTTTGCCAATGGCCAAACCTTCAGCATATCTCTTGATGAAGTTGAAGTCTTGACCGAGCTGGGCAAAGGAAACTACGGAACAGTCTACAAGGTCAAGCATGCCAAGCGAAGAGTCCCTCGCTTCGGACAAGGCCTCTCGAGAAAGCCTCTCACTGTTCAGTATTCGCAGTCGGACCCTTCTCCCGTTAGATCTGCGGAAGACTCTGCCGAGGGCTTATCAGAGACCACCGACGGTACAACGGGCACAGTGATGGCGATGAAAGAAATGCGCTTGGAGCTTGACGACGCCAAATTCACGACCATTTTGAAGGAGCTTGTCATCTTACACGAGTGTGTTTCTCCGTATATCATCGACTTTTATGGCGCCTTCTTCCAGGAGGGTGCTGTTTACATGTGCATTGAGTATATGGATGGCGGGTCCATCGATAAGTTGTATAATGGTGGAATCCCGGAGAATGTTCTTCGAAAAATCACATATTCTACTGTGATGGGTCTAAAATCACTGAAGGAGGAGCACAGCATTATCCATCGTGACGTCAAACCAACAAACATCCTGGTCAATACACGAGGCCAGGTCAAGATTTGCGATTTTGGTGTCAGTGGTAATCTGGTAGCAAGTATAGCGCGAACCAACATCGGCTGTCAGAGCTATATGGCCCCCGAGAGAATCTCTGGTGGCGGATTCGCGCAAGCTGGTAACTCCGATGGCTCATATAGCGTTCAGAGCGATGTCTGGAGTTTGGGCCTGACCATCATCGAGTGTGCTAAGGGCGCTTATCCCTACCCACCGGAGGTCTCTTCTACTATTTTCAGCCAACTGAGTGTAAGCGCTCCGCCATTGAGTTAAACCAGTCATGGGTTACTAACATGCTATAGGCCATTGTTGAAGGTGAACCACCTGCAATGCCAGAGGACACTTACTCGGACATGGCCAAGGATTTTGTGAAAAGCTGTCTTCACAAGATTCCTATGAAGCGGCCAACCTACGCCATGCTGTTGAAACATCCGTGGCTCGTTGAATTTACAAAGCCTCAAACAATTGCGGAAGAAGCTGAGGAAGGCGACGGAGTTGATACAGTCGCCGAAGCTGTTGGTAAAATTAACTTGGACTCATCAACTGCAGATGCTGAAGTAGCAGATTGGGTCAATGGCGTTCTACAACGAGAGAAAGATGGCCTGAAGGAGGACGGGCCCTTGAAACCAGCACTACACAATGCACCCCTTGATAGCGTCAGTCCTATGACGAGCCCAAAGGATGCATAAAAGTTTGAAAAGCCGGGGCGGCCCAATCCTGGTTCTCGGGGGAAATACTCGGCCATCTAGGAAGCATGCCAACGGAGCAGGTATCTAGTTGGCTACAGGACTACCTATGGATAGCAAGCATCTGCTTAACGGCTCTTTTCAAGGTGTTGACCTTTTATCATCGGCAGTAACACAGCACAAAGTCCCCATGCATCAGCATGTGTTACTTACATCATTTTGACCTCCTTTTTCTGCATTTTTTTGGAGGACACTCCTGTACACGCTTTAGGATGGGGTTTAGACAAATTAGGGCCGGATTTTGGCATTTGTTTTTCGTAAGAACAAAACTGGGCGAATGAACCAAGTTGGAAAACGAACCAGGATAGCATGTTGTTGTTTTCATTTCATGTACTCGAACGAAAGGGACAGCGGCGAACAACACAGGATAAAAGAGAGGGCTTTGGAGGTGACTTCGGGCTTCAATCGTTTAACGAGAGTCGGGGTCGGGTGTGATATGCATTTCATGGTTTGGCGAATGGACGAATAACGTCAATATGGTATATGCATAATGATTTGAACTTATGATATTAAGTACCTCGTAAACCAGGCAATGGAAACATGACCTATCTTCACAGCAGTAGTAAGTAATGAAGAGTAGTAATTTGTGTGAAACCATAAGCCCGAGAGCGTTGGCTGAAAATGTCTACATGATTCCAAGTGGAAATATCGACAACAGAAACTAGAATATTAAGACTTAAAAATAAAAACGCTTGTATTGTTGTAATATCATACATTCATAATAACTATTAGACAGTTGATGAAAGCAAGCTTCTCGTAGATCTCGCCCATAACTTCAACATTACGTTCTGAGAAAATCATTTCTCCTCGCCAAACACATCGTGAATACATACCTGCACTCCTTGCAGATCATGGATGGTGAATCAAATATAGACGGGACAAAGTTACAGCGTCGCGCGCGAACAACCATTGAGGCTGTTGTGGATACGATCACTGCGGCTGTTCATGCTCGTTCCTCATCGGGCTCTGTCGAAAGTTGGAGAGTCGATTGGATTTGGCCTAACAGACGGTTGGCAGGTAAAAGTTTAGGAATAGTCATCCTTAACACGGCGGCCCTCATAGCCTGGGCCGTGGCTGCTGCGCACGCTTCGTCTACGGCGCCATGAGCGGCCGCTGTAGCCTCCGCTTGACGACTTGTCGCCGCGCATGCCTAAGCAGAAGAGAATGGTAGCGATGAGCAAAGTGGCCCATGATGCCCACGCAAAACCAAAAGCATAGCGGCCGATCGAGGCCGATCGACCGTCACGGTGAAAGGCATTGCGAGCGAGAACCCAGGTAGCACTAACGAGAAGTGTCAGTAAACAGCTATACCATCATGCAGGGGCCAGAGATACGTACGTCATTAGGGACATTGCAACTGAGGAGCAGAACAGGGCGAACATGGACATGAGACTAGAGATTCCAGCACCAAGACGGCCACAGCAGGCAATGAAGCCAGTGAAGAAGGCGATGGTCTCGAAGAAAAGAGTGATCAGGATGAAAACCCAGCCAAACCGCCACAAGAAGAACTGTCTGTTCGATGTGGTGTCACCAGCACGACCGCCAACAAGCGAGCTGGGCGCATTACGTGGGTTTGAGTCCCACGCGCGACCGATGACGGGGGCAGCGCGAGCGCCATCGCAATCGTTGTTGCCGGCACCGCAAATGTAGAAAAAGTTCCATTGTGTGACTTCACGGGCACCCGAGATGCCGCCAGTGTCGGCGCGGAGGAAATACGTCTTGTCAAATGGCGTGGTAGAGGTCAAGCCTGAGAGGATGATGAACCAGAGGAAGAGGAGGGAAACAGCGAGGAGGACCAGGCCAGCGAGGCCAAGAGGAGCGTCTGTGGCAGGTCAGTCAATCATCTGTTGGTCAAGCCATAGGACTGAGTCAGGAGAGAAACTTACTCTTCGCCATGGCTATATGCCGTTCAAAAGTATCTGGCCACAACCGATCAAACTCAAGCGTTGATGCAAGCACTTCTGCCCAAAAAATCGAACTCGAAAGGATTAATTTACCGCGATGGGGCGCCGGGGATTGGATGTCGTCACGCTGCCAGGATCACCGTCAAGGAAAAGGCTGCAGCTAAAAAGACGACTAATGAGATCTTGCGTCCTATTTAGTAGGTAGCTCTCGACCAGGGTTCAGAGTCTGTTTGCGTTGTAGAGAACAGGCGTCTGGAACGGTTGAGAGATGGCGATGGATCTTATAAAAGTAGGAAGAGGGAGCCGGAAGAGAAATAAGGCCTGGGCTGAGGAGATTGACGATCCTTATGAACCTTGTTCATTAGCTCTGGGAGGGTTTCTTGTTTTTGTTTCTGGAGCCTTTTCCTTAGCGTCTAGGGGTGATGTGATGCTCGGGAGACGGACTGGCTTGTCGGTGTGGGGACCGGGAGATGTGTGTCTTAGTCGAATTGTACGACGGTGATTAGTATGTTTCTTCTCCCTTCAGCTGAGGAAAGACACGGAGTTCCCAGGTCATGGATGACTTTGCGGAGGAGCGAGAGGAGGTGATTGTAGGGGAGCAAGCATACGACTTGTCACTTAAGAAAGGAACGCAACCCAAATGAAATCAACCATCGAGGCGTTACGTAGGTCTCCGTGGGCTGCCACCCTTGACGGATGCTCGCCTTAGGTAGGTAGGCCCAGGGCACATTGATCCCGGCTGCAGCAACAGCACTCTGAATCACACTAAAGGAAACCCCAGCAGGGTCACTGAATGCTCTGGAGTCTGGTGGGTAGTAGTAGATGATGCTTCCACCTTAATCCTACGGATCTAGCCTGGCTAACTGGCAACCTTCGATGCCCGAAGCGAAAGGAACTTGCTAGACTAGTGCTTCTTAAAGGTAAAGAAAAGTTCCGAGTGCACGACAGCTCAGTGATGACGACAGTGGGCAACGATGGACAAGAGATGCACCACAACATCTTGCCCAATGGAGCAAAGCTGTAGCAACCATTTTGTCCCTATTGGGGTTTAGCGCTCCACTTCCCTGATGTCATGAGACACAGGTGAATGATGCGACAGCGACGTCTACGAAAAGGCAGTGATTGTCGATGATGAATAGGGCGGTCGCTTTTGAGACTGCCAATGCTCGCCAAGCTACCAAGATCGAGAGCTTGGCATTCGCTTGTGCTACGTTTTCTGAGTTACCCTAGGTAAGTTAGTGTTGAGACATGGTCTTCGTCGAGTTGATTGAGTTGAGTTGTTTTTTTCTCTGTATTACCAGCAGTTTCAAGCCGGGAGCTCCGATGAAAAGTACAGCTCTTACCCACTGATTGACTGGTGTTTTCAACTGACGAGCTCCATGAAGTCGAGGCACTTCAGCTCTCGGCTCTCCAGGTAACTATGGGTCTCAGACAGCTACCTAAGCTTAGTCTTGAGTTAGTTTCTTAGTTTCAGCTGGCATTGTGTACAATTTCTCGTTCCGTGCTCCAGTGTCACCTACTGCCTGTCATTTGGCAGCCTCTTGTTATGTGTGGTTACTTTTGAATTTTTCAACTGCCAAAGCAACAACCGTGAAGCTCAAACACTTAAACGTACGCACAAGGTTTCTCTACCATATCGAATGTCAATTAAAAGTAGACTTCACATGCAAAGGTCAATTTCGAAATTAGACTCTCGGCGGCCTCCGTCCGTTGATCTTCGGCCCTGAGCTACCGACGTCACCACCGCCGGCTTTTCTGTGCCCCACGGGATCGTCCACCAGAAACTCACTTTCTTACCAAGGCATATCGCGCATGCCTAACGCCAGAGTTTGTACGGAGGTTACCCCCGATTTGTGATCTTGAGCATACAGTACGACAAGCCAGATCGACCCCAATTGATCGTAGCTACTCTGCGGGCTCTGTGATCGGCTTCTTCGCCGGGGAATCTGCCTGGAAGCCGGACCACAATGCCGCTTGGCTTGCGGCTGAAGGCCATTCCGTCCTCCGCCATAAAATCCACTTCGTTCCGTATCGGAGCCGGGACATCGGCCGGTCATGTCTTCCTCAACCGATGGTCATCCACTTGCGCCGCTCCGACGTCAGACCTACCTTCACTCAACCTCGTCGTTCATCGACATCTCACAGGATCGGGTCCTGATGCTTTCGTCCCCTATGACACTGCCAACAATGAGCAGGAAGAACTCCGCTCGTCGTTTCTCAAGTGGAAGAGTTTGAGCGAGGAACAGCAGCAAGACAGAGGCCACATACCCCGCCCTCATCTTCTTTCTTTTGAACCAACACCAACTCTCACGCTTGGGCGTCGACAGCGCCCCCTCACTTCCGAGCAAACCTCCTACTTCAAGTCTCCCCTCTACGTTAGTCTTCCTCATCGGCGTAACCCTGTCGAAGAGCAGAGCTTCATTCCTGCGGTCAAACAGACAAGCCGTGGGGGCTTGACAACCTACCATGGTCCTGGTCAGCTTGTCTTGTGGCCTGTGCTAGACATGCACTCTCCTCTGTATGCGCATTACTCAGTCATGTCGTATGCGGACCATCTCGAAGCGACCACACGTCGCCTACTGGCACGTTTGTTCGGTTTGGAAACTTATACAACCCGAGATGAACCTGGAGTCTGGGTCCGTACCCCCGCCGGTCAACCAGAACGCAAAATCGCAGCAATTGGGGTTCATCATCGGAGACACGTCACAGCCCTTGGCATTGCTATCAACATCGACGTTTCGGTGGATGGTCCCGACGTTGTCAATCCTTGGGCTCGTTTTGTTCCTTGTGGCCTTGAAGGTAAGCTTGTCACCTCTGTGGCTGCCGAATTAGCAATGAAAGATGGTATTGCGCGACTTGGTGGCTGGAATACTGCCTCATTAGCAGCCGTGTGGGTGAGAATATTCGAAGAAGGGATAGTAGATGATTCAAGGAGAAGTATTGACGGCGAGGGGAGCTCTCAGTTCCGTCGAGCAGTCTCATGATACGTGACTAGTAAACTCGATCAATTCCAGCCTACCTAAACATCCTGCTGTCAGGCCTTCACGAACCAACACTGGCTAAACGAGTATTATGTGTCTGTATAATATACGCTTTCGGTTCGGGTACTTATGTGATATATATGTATATATATATATATATATATACGAGGCTAAATGACTCAGGGGGGACCATAGCCAGTTGTCATCATTCTGTAGAAGCCAATATTCAAGGCTATTAATTCTTGAGGTAATTTTAACTTGATTTTGTGAGCAGTTTTCTAGCAGATCATAAAGAATCCATCGATCGCAGACTCATAGATACTGGTATCAGATCAGTGTGTTCATTCTGGTTTATATAATCATATACTTATTATCATGCCCTATCCTCTGGTTTAATTGAACGATCAAACCAACTGCTACTTGTTGTGACTGATGGGGAGTAGACCAAGTCGGGCGTGTTGGTGAAGTAAGTAAATAATGATATTGAGAAACCTATCTACACTGAAGTTGTGTCTTGTCGACGAGGGCCCTTGGATTTTGGTTTCAAAAGACTAATATGTCTAAATACTATGTAGCTATATAATAACTTATGAACAAACATTTATTTACCCGACTCAACTGTAGTGACAAAAGTCAAATAAATGACTATGTCAATCCATCACTCACCGAATTTGCAGTGATCGCTCGGAGCGTGGGACAAACTGATCAAGAAATGTCTCAAGTTATAAACAGGATCGTAGGGTAGCTGCCTGCACATGTGCGGCGAGAGGATGACACCATGTAACATCCCTGTCATCGCTTAGAAAGCATAACCATCTCGGCCTGAGCCGGTGAATATCGTTGACGTCTAGAATTACATCGGAGCCAATCAGAGTCAGAAGCGCGATCGCCAGTACCCTGCCATAACGATCCAGGGACCTCTGATGATCGGCCTTTTTTTTTTGTTTGCTTTCGGTTATTCTTCTGCGTGCTTTGGGTTGCCTTTGACTTACAAAACTCGGGGTTTGCCCCCCCAAAATTGTCAAAATGATGTATTTGCCTCTCCATATATGCATACGGAAGCCAAAATGACATAAAAAGAAGAATGTGCTTAATATAACCGGCCTTGTCACTGTGCCAGCAGATTTGTGATTCCTATACCGACCCACCTGCCAACGATCAAATTCGACTACACCCACTTCGGCATCAAGCAATTCATATTCCACTCATCCTCTGATATACTAGCTTGAACCTGGCAACCTCTTGATACCGTCTTTGTTTTCATTCTTTTGGTTCGTCTGCTACCGTCTGTAAATTGAGCAGAGCCATGGACCCTCTCGTGGCCGCGGAACTGGAAAAGTTCGACGATAGTGTGGCATTCCGTGCTCGGCCACAACATGTCCACCACACTTGGGCGCGCACATTTTCGTCCCTCCCAGAGCTTTTCATCCAACCCGAGTCTTTGCCTGAAGTTGAAAAAGTTGTGAATCTGGCGCGAAGATGTCGTCGGCGTCTAGTGACGACTGGCTGTGGCCATTCACCCTCCAATATCACTTGTACATCCAGTTGGCTCGTCAACCTGGACAACTTCAACAGGGTCCTCTCGGTGAACAAAGAAACGGGTGTTGTTACCATGGAGGGTGGAATCAGGCTTTACGCCCTCTGTGAAGAGCTCGAGAAGCATGGACTCACGATGCCAAATCTTGGAAGCATCAATGAGCAGTCTATCAGTGGTGCTATCTCAACAGGTACCCATGGAAGCAGTCTACGCCATGGACTGATGTCCGAAGACGTCCTGTCTCTTAAGGTTACAATGGCAGATGGAACCACAGTGTACTGCTCTAAAGACACCAAGACGGACCTTTTCAGAGCTGCCCTTCTTTCTCTCGGCGCTATTGGTATCATTACCGAAGTTTCCTTCCAGGCAGTTCCAGCCTTTACTTTGAAGTGGGAACAGAGCATTGACACAGACTACAAGATGTTTGAGTCTTGGAATCGAAACCTATGGACACAGAGTGAATTTGTCAGGGTCTGGTGGTTCCCCTACACAAGACGTGCAGTGGTGTGGCAGGCAGAACAAACCGACGAGGAACACCGCGACCCTCCTCAGAGTGGGTATGATGGCTCAATCGGCTACTATGTCTACCACAATCTTCTCTATCTTGCCCAACACGTCCCGCGAATCCTGCCATGGGTTGAGTGGTTTGTCTTCGGTATGCAGTATGGCTTTCGGAATGGAACCACTTCATCAGCTGTTCAACCAAGCCGTAAAGCACTGCTCATGAACTGCCTATATTCCCAGTTTGTTAACGAGTGGGCTATCCCTCTTGATAAGGGCCCCGAGGCGCTCCGGAGACTGAGCTCTTGGCTCAACCACTTGTCTCCTGATGACTCTGATTACGTTCCTCACAACATCCCATTCTCTGCGGACGGTCTTTACGTCCACGCACCTGTCGAGGTGCGCGTGAGTGACACCACTCTCACCTCGAACGTACGGCCATACCTTGATATCACTGTTGAAAACGGACCTACATTGTACCTCAACGCAACACTATATCGCCCCTATCTCATGGATCCACCTTGCCACGAACGATACTACGAGGCTTTTGAGTGGCTGATGAAAGACCTTGGAGGTCGACCGCACTGGGCTAAGAATTTTAGAACCACTCGGTCTGAGATTGAAGCGTTCTATGGCAAGCAACTTGAATCGTTTCGGGCCATACGCAACGATGCTGACCCCCAGGGCATGTTTGTCGGGCCATGGCATCGAGAAACAATTATGGAGAATGGCGAAGGTCTTGAGTTGGAAGAGGTTGAGATTCGAAGAGAGAAGAACCACATAGGAGGTGTCACCACGTTTGGAATCATTTGATAGCGTAACCCGTCACAACAATACGTCATGGGAATTAGATAAATCGCTTGCCACATGGCCCATCAAAAACGACTTCAATATCAGGAATTGTGATGTGATTCGGACGGCCTGGGCAGCATGCCGCAACCATCCACTTGATGATCGAGAACGGGAATCAAGTATTAATATTAAAACCACTCGCTTAATTTGTCACATATCCGTCGGAAAGAGGAAGAAAAAAAAGGATGCCAGTGTAGTGACTTCTAGAAGAATACGCGGCCCAGCCCACCAATCGCAAGTAACATTGCAAAATGTTCTGCATTAGATTTGTCGGTAGCCAGCCTTCTCATCGATATGTCGGTAGCGTTCGCGCTCTTTGCGGTCCTTGAGCAGACATGCAATGCACAAGATAAAGATAGCATCGATACCTATATATGGGAAATTAGTTTGCAATGTTTCGGCGCACAATTGCGCAAGAAATGAAAGCTTGAACTCACCAACGATTCCAAACAGAACAGTAAAAATGCTGTCGATATGTAGGTTTGCAAAACTTGAGATTGATGTCGCACAGCCACGTAGCAGTGCTGCACTTGCAGGACTGCTGCAAGTCGAATCCATCACAAAAGCCGGAGTTGTGCTATTGAAATAACCACAACACTGAAACTGTAAGGATTCAGGTTAATACGTCTCGTGGTGTCAGATTTCAGTGAAACTTACAGAGTCCTGGATCAAGCTCTGTACGTCTGGTTCTTGGTCGATGTAGATACTGAAGAATTGCTCACTCATCCTCAACGTCATAACCCAGAGGAACACAGCCACGCACATAGTGAATATCGCGCACACTGTCACCATATATCCCGACACCTTGAGAAAGCTTCGAGCGGGCATGACGAGTCCGGGCAGTGTGACTGCAAACGTGACGAGAATGAAAATGGCATTGACGATACCCGCGGTCAGGGGAAATCTTTGGTATAGCAAGTTCCTTGTAACATCCTCGCCATCAGTAGGCGTGTTCTTCATCTGGCTCTGTACGACCAGCGAAAAAACCAACTCCATGACACCCGAACTCAGGAAGAGAGCGTCGGCAACGACCGTCGAGAGGAAGATCTTGTCGACCATATTGGCGGTGCTGCAGACGATACGCAGTAGGGAATCGGTAAGGAAGCTTTATAATCCGTTTGATTCGAGGTTTGATCTCTATATCGGATATTCTCGAGTAGATTCGCTAGGAAATATGGTTGGTGAGACGTCCAGCGCCTGGTATATTGAGCCTCGTCGAGAGGTTGAAATGAATGAAGGGAGCGTTCTCAAGAGGTCAACCCTCGAGAACTGCAAATATATTCAAAAGAAAGAGAGAAAGAACTAATAAAACAGCACGTGCCAAAGCGAGCACGGAAGTTCCGTTGAAGAGAATGTGTAGTATAGTATTAAAGAGAGGTGAAAGACTACAATGACTCCCTGAGCCTACGAGAAGAACACGACAACCGACCGGCCCATGAACAACGAGTCACGGAAAAACCAAACGAGACCGAGACCAACAATGAAACGAGACTTCTATCCAAACGTCTCGGAAAACACCTGATTGTTGACGAGTTCCGCTGCCAATGCTGTTTCAGGAGATGGGTTTTTGCCGCAGAATTGTCAACGGACCCCCTTGGTGGTGGTGCTACGAGGAGGCGGTGGCCAATCACAGGCCTCAAAACTGTGGTTGAATACCCCCTTTGGGACAATGGCCTCTGGAGCCAAGAAACTTGAGACTCGGTAAAAGCCTAGAGGCCAACGACAGTGGCTTAGGGATGATCGTAAAACCACAAAAGGGGAGTCGAAATGCCTGGAAACCTGTTCAAACTTGTAGCAGGAGCCGCCAAGTTATCATTCTGATCTGATTTCTGGCGTGATCTTGTTTCTTTTGCTCGCAGGATCTACGTTCTGACGCACAACCGCTTGTCAAGAGGTTTCCAGAACATCAATCCCTCCGGTAGTTGAGAAATGCGATTGCCTGAAGCTAGGGGATATGAGGAAAGGTCCATCAAGGGGTGCCTTAACTGTTGCAACGTCTGCGGGTGCAAACCCCAGCCTGCCGGTAGCTCTTATGAGCTTAATCGTCCAAAGACGTCGATGAATACCCCTTGAGGGATGGTGTTGTGTTAGCCGAACAACCACATGTCAGCAATTGGGATCCTTGACAGAGAATTTCGTATAAAAACTGAATACCATCACCGTCTCGCACTTGGACAAAAGACTGTTAACGCAATGATTATTTCTATCTCAGTCGTCATCTTTGGTGATGCCGTGGCATTCCGGTCTCGGGCAATCTGATGGCCATTCTAGTACTGTCACCCTTCTGCAAGATATCGATAGTGGACTCAATAAGGTAGGGAGGATTAGACGAACCGAACTTCACAACTGGGTTCATGTTCGCAAATCTAACGTTGAGCAATGCAGCATTAAAAGGGTAGCCTATCAGGCTATCACTGATTTGTGCGTATTAATAGCGATATGCTCGCTGCAAGAGGCGATGAAGCCTCTCGTCACGGTCAAGTAGGCAGATATCTGTCATATGAGCCGCATAAATCTTTGCTGCTCTTATGCTGCTGCACGTGAGATTGGAAGCGATCAAGTCTCGAACATTCCCTGAGATCAAAGGGAGGACCTTCTGAAGCTCTTGTCCATTGACAAACCAGTGCCAGCCAACAGTCCAAGCGCCGACCCCACATCGGCGAGCTCTTGTTCTTTTCTTAGGTAACTATCAGAGGAACTTTCGTGGCCCCGTAGAACGATATGCTTTTGAGCGTGCTCGAGGCTTATCTTTTGTAAAGCACGAACATTACTCTATTTTAATGGACATCTACCTATGTATGAAGAATACTCTAGATCTGGTATTCAGTCAGCTATGTTACTGACGCCACGCAATGCTCCGATATCACTCTCACTGGCATATCGAAAGATGATCTGGCTGACCACGTTCACAGCAAACATGGTTTGCAGCACCAAGTGCCACGCTGACACTGTGCCATTCTTGGGGAGCTTCCTGTTCCAGCTAAGCTTGGTTTATGGAGATGGAGGGGCCGTCCAGAACCTTAGCAACTAGCCTGAGCTTTGGCCTGATAGAATTCAATGGCTACCGCTCGCCGTTGCTTGTCATTGGCAAGGTTAGCTCCGAGCACCTTGAACATAAGGTGGTTTTCCCCGCTCGATGTACCCATGAACCGTGCGCTGAGTTGCAAGTTGAGAGAACGGCAGCCTCTCTGACTGTCCCATCTTGGCCATCTGGTTGATGGTCATTCGTGAATTGCTTTGCGGCACCTTTCCTCCTGTGGGATGAATCCATTCTTGTTCCGTCTGTGCCTCCAGCCTTAAATGCAAGATTGAACTCTTACATGTGAGATCGAAGGATCAGTCAGTCTGAGGACATCAAGAATTCTATCCATCCATAGATATTCCGTACTGTTGTCGATATTCATTCCTCACTGATACGACTTCCCAACCACCTAGACTAACTTTTGGTCGCGCCTAAACTCGACTTTACGGCATCTCATCATGTCAATAGTAGGACTTTGTTCCGCACTTAGATTGCCCCTTATCGCGGAACAAACAAACCATGAAGCCGTTCCCCGCCACCCTCCCACGGAGCCGAGGTTTTGTCCACCAATCCCCGGGATCGCGCTGTACCCCCAGGGAGTAAGAAAACCTCTGATGCTAAGCTAGGTACTATTAAGGCGCCAAAAATACCCAATTCAAGGCCAACCAAATTATACTGAATTTACCCAAGTATTTATGTCATCTAAAATAGAGGCTCTCGAGCTTTCGAGTTTCTTGCAACCCTATGTACTTGTTGTGTTCCCCGCTTCAAGCAGTAGTGATGATCAGTGAACGAACGAGCTATCAATGTGGTTGACACAAACGCTGCACAAGATCTTATGCTGTTCCAGACAACGAGACAACGGGGACGGTGTTTGTTCTCGAGCCCTTCAGCCTGTGTGATACCATTACTGCTTGAATACATTATACAACAGATCCAAAGTGGACGTTCATAGTTCGTCTTTGTGGAAAGTCGATGAAGCACAAGTTTGAGCAAGCTCCCGCCAATCATGTCTATACACCGTTGCGGCATATTTGCAGGATGGTCTAGATCAGTTTGAACATCCATCCCTGTTAGCCAGGGGAGCCAGAGCCGAGGAATTAGGCCCGCCTATCCTGCGATTTTCATCTCTGCGATTAATCAGCGACTACGGAGTACGGACAAGTCAATATAAAAAACCATTTTCATTTAGGTATACGTTGAATTGCAACGTACTTTCCGGCGAGATGTTAAGCAAACATATTAGCTCATGTTGAGCCTTTGGCTAGCAAAGCAATATGGAGAAGATCAACATGTGGTTGATGACATTTTCGACACTCCTCGATTCTCTAGACATCGACCTACAGCAATAAGCTCCTGGATACCTATCCAATACAAAGAAGACTTTCTTCGTTCACTCATCGATTCATCACTGACCAAGCACCAGTTGGGCCCACTTGCTAAAGTGGATGATGCGACAGGTCGAGGCCCAGATACAGATGCACGCGCGACAGGGGAGTAGCACCATCCGACAATTTGAGCCTTTCGTGTTCAGTTTGATCCCCAGGATGTTGAGATGGAGACACTGTGCGACAGATCTGCGCTAGTCGAGATTGGATTGTAAAAGGGAGGCTGGAGCTCGGGTAAGCAATCAGACTTTGCCCTGGCTGTTTGCTCTTTTGTCTTTTTCGTTTTCAAGTGGTTACTAGAACGTAAAGGGTATGTTGGTCAAGATCTTTGTGTGAAAGCTCAGGTTCAATCAAACATACTGCACTGACCTTGATACGGAGTTCTGATGTTGGAGATGTGAAAGCCCTTCTGCAGTTGCAGCCACGCTATGGTTCGTCACGCGGCGGCATGCGTGCGGCGCAGAGAGGCCCACTGATTCAACGGCTCACGATATCCAGGATAGGACGGAGGGTCTTTGACAGGTAGGTACATACTACATACATATGTACAT